ACTAATATTTGATGTCAACTAATATTTTTGTTGTCATACAGTAACCAAAGGAACTAAAAACTCGCCACAAATTCTAATTTTCTTATTTCTATATTATTGCAACCTGATATTTGATATTTCAAAGACTATGAATTATGATTACTAAAATAAAATTTAAAATATCAAAGGTTCTAACCATCAGGTTGAAAAAATGTAGAGTTCCAGGCAAACCGTTTTCTTTTAAAGGAAGTGTTCGCAAAAAAATGAAATGGGTAAATCTGAATCGATTGCCAATAATTTTACTTATATATTTATAGATCAAGACGAAAAATCGTTCAACTACAGGGAGAACCAAAAACTGTGGAATAGGAAGACGTCATTAAGACATAATTAATCGAATTTGATGTTGTTACATAAAAAAATAATCTTAGTGTAGCAAGTATTGTAGCAATGCCCATATTTGTTAACCTGAGCATTCCCCGGCCTCTATATATTTATAATTATTTGTTATTTTTAATTAACATTTGTATGTATGTACATTGTAAAAACTTGTGGCCTAATAAATTAATAATTTGAATGATTTGATAGATATATATAAAATACACTCTGGGCTGTAGTAAATTTTAATTCGTAAAGGACCTGCCAAGTCTGTACCGGCCTGCCAGATAACAGCGTACGTACTGTACTTGGCATAGTCCCGTCGGAGGGCTAACTATGACAACTCCCATCGCGCGTTCAGACTTTTTACAGTACCCGGCCTAATCCTATGCCTATTTGACCGACCTCACTGGCTTAGTCCACCGTGAACATGTGGTACGTAACAGGATTAAAATATTCATTGTGATTACGTATATATCTATCTATGTTAATCCTAGAAATACGTACATTCAACTTAAACTAAGCTGTAAACATGTGTGGAGATAGCATAACTACGTTGTATCCATCCGCGCTAATCTTATCAAAACGTACATTAAACTTGTAATTACGTCAATTAATGTTAACATGAAAAATAAGATATCTGAAATTAAGTTAGTTTTTAGTGCTTACTGTAAGAGAGTAATCTTTCACTGCTTTAACAAACAGGTTGAAGACCGTCCCCTATAATAGTTAATAGCTTGTTTGATAGCTAGGCTTGTGTCCCTGTGTGACATTTAGAGCACGATTAATAGCTTGTTTGATAGCTAGGCTTGTGTCCCTGTGTGACATTTAGAGCTCGATTGATAGCTTGTTTGATAGCTAGGCTTGTGTCCCTGTGTGGCAATTAGAGCTCAATTAATAGCTTGTTTGATAGCTACGCTTGTGCCCTGTGTGGCATTTAGAGCTCGATTAATAGCTTGTTTGATAGCTACGCTTGTGTCGTTGCGTGGCATTTAGAGCTCGATTGATAGCTTGTTTGATAGCTACGCTTGTGCCCTGTGTGGCATTTAGAGCTCGATTAATAGCTTGTTTTATAGCTACGCTTGTGTCGTTGCGTGGCATTTAGAGCTCGATTGATAGCTTGTTTGATTGCTACCGAGATTGCGCCCAGTGGTAGTAGCGTTGATAGTTCACGGGATTGTAACAGTGTGGATCGTGTCCTGGTTAACTTTGATAGGGGACGGGTTGTACCTGGATGGATACGTTTCGAGAATTTTTTATGGACTAGGGCTTTACTACATTAGCAATAACTTCAAAATTAACATATTTAGTGAAATGGGACTATTTACATTGCCCGATTGCTTTGTCTCATGTTCATTGGACTATTTAAAGTCATAAATTGAGTCTTAAAGTCGCCTTCCTGTCCCTGAGGTTTCTGGTTATCCCTGTACTTTTACAGTTTTCACGAGCCCTAAATAATCGAATAGAAAAATGAATAATTTGTTTATTCAAATTGTGAATCAGAAGTACAAGTACAAGTACAACTGTTAAATAACAACCACAGATATAATTTGGTAAAATAAAACATGTACAGGGCAGTTACCATTGCTAACCAGAATTATGTACGACTGTACCAAAAAATCTAAAAGAAAACATTTGTAATTGTAAAAAAATCTGATTTATGGTGGCCTTGTACATTGTTCTTACGTTAGTACGTACATAACACTTTAAAAGTGTATGTACAACGTTAGGTAACAAATATGTACAATATTAAAATTCTTCAATACACTTCCCTGTACATGTTTTTTATTTGTAAATATATATTCTAATCTATTAAAAGAATAAGAAGTAGAGTTGAAGGATGAACTTGGAATTTCACGAATAAATTATTTTTAACTTTTAATTATACAGAGATTCTCTTTGAAAATGAGTGAATTGTTTCTGCCTTCTATAAAACTAAAATTTTCCTATATCTTTAATATTAAGTAAATCTGATAGAATTCAAGCAAAACAAGATAATATAATAATTTTATCTACAATGATTAATAATAAGTAATGATGATAATAATAATGATAGTAAGCTGTAAATGTGTTTAGAATAACTTATAGGCAGAGGTTGATTTTTTTTTGGTGGATGAAATTAACCAAAGTTTATCGAAGAATATTTTTTCAAATGAAAATATACGCCAAGATAAACTTGAAATTGATTCCATAAAGAAATATAAGGACTCGTTTTTTCAATATTTTTAGAACAAAGATAATATATGCTAATATAGCTTTAGCACCGTACATATCAACCTTCATATTTTAATATATATATAATATAATAATAATACATCAATTTAACCATATTTAAACATGTGTGCATATGCGCCTACATAGAGTTGTGCTCGTTTGGTGCGTAAATGTATATATTTATTGTACAATGTTTAGTGTGCAAGGTACACTGTTGTACAATGTTTTGTGTGCAAGGTACACTATTGTGTTTAGTGTACAAGGAACACTGTGTACAATGTTTAGTGTACAAGGAACACTGTGTACAATGTTTAGTATACAAGGAACACTGTGTACAATGTTTAGTATACAAGGAACACTGTGTACAATGTTTAGTATACAAGGAACACTGTGTACAATATTTAGTGTACAAGGAACACTGTGTACAATGTTTAGTATACAAGGAACACTGCGTACAATATTTAGTATACAAGTAACACTGTGTACAATGTTTAGTATACAAGGAACACTGTTTACAATGTTTAGTGTACAAGGAACACTGTGTACAATGTTTAATGTACAAGGAACACTGTGTACAATGTTTAGTGTACAAGGAACACTGTGTACATTGTTTAGTGTGCAAGGTACACTATTGTGTTCAGTGTACAAGGAAAACTGTGTACAATGTTTAGTGTACAAGGAACACTGTGTACAATGTTTAGTATACAAGGAACACTGTGTACAATGTTTAGTGAACAAGGAACAACCTTATCTAATCCTCAGTGTACAAGGTACAATGTGTACAATGTTTAGTGTACAAGGTACACTGCAACATTGTACAATGTTTAGTGTACAAGGTAAACCGTTGTGTAGAATGTTTACTGTGTATAGTATTTACGGAGTTTTGTACGATATTTAGTGTTAAAACTAACACTGCCATGTACAATATTTGGCGTTCAATGTACTCTTTGATAGAGTAAAATGTGGAAAGTGGATTGTAAACGTTGTTAAAATTATCATTTTCTTAAAATGTGTTGAATAATAAGAAAGAAGCATGTTCACTGTGCAGTCTTTTACACATTTGTATACCTTGCACAGTGCACAGCGTATAGTGCACAGTTTACAGTGCACAGCGTATATTACACAGTGTACAATCTACAGTGTACATTGTACAGTGTACAGTGTACAGTGTACAGTTTAAAGTGTACGGTGTACAGTGTACGGTGTACAGTGTACGGTGTACAGTGTACGGTGTACAATGTACAGTGTACGGTGTACAATGTACAGTGTACAATGTACAGTGTACAGTGTACAGTGTACAGTGTAGCAGAATAATATGATTATCCAGACTCAAATTAAAGTATTAGACGATTATACAATTGTTTAGGTTTATAAAATTCTAAAAGGGAATTAGAACAAACATAATTGTTAAGCTTACCCCTTTTAAAGTTTATAAACACTACTTTTAAAGGAAATTACTATTTTCAAATAAGATAAAATTTGATTTTTTAACAGTGATCAACAAAAGTCTTCTTAAAATGAAAGCCAAAATTAAAACCAGGTTTTCAAAAAAGAGCTTATACAGTCTCGATCTTCTTGAAAACCTTGTTTTTCAGTGCTTAAAACTTGTTTAAACAACCCTCATGTGAAGATAATTTATATTAAATGCCATTATTAAATATTTAAAGCTTTTTTCGGCGAAATAAAAAGAAAAATTTCTAGTGGGCTCTAACAGGGCCAAGAAGGCTACCAAGACAAAATATAGTAAACAATATAACATGAGTTTACTATTGGCACTAAGATACCAGACTACGGACTAGGTTAACAAAATATTTTTTGCTTCTTAACAATTTTTCAAATTAGTTTAACAGAAAATAAGGAAAATTCCAGTGTTGTGTCTTCATAAAACAGCACCAGCATTAAAAACAATCAATCTATCTACATATATACATAGTTTTACATGTATTTATATATGTATATATTCACATTACATAAATACATAAATGAATACAAGAAATGTATTAATGTAAATGCAAATATAGTACATATTACATGTCAATGAAATAATAATCTAATATTGAATAAATACAAAAAACAGTTTTTGCCGATCTGACATTGAAGTTTAATTTATTAGAAATGAAGAATTAATTAGATAGACATAAAAAGAGCATTAAAAAGCTTCCGGATGTAAATTAAGTTTTATGAATTATTAGATGTTTGATATCAAGAAAACTTTTGGACGTACATATTGGTGGTGTTTATAACTCTATTTCGTGGTTTATTTCTAAGTTGTAAAATGAATTTGGAGAATTTGATTATAATTGATAAAAAATTTACATTTTCCAAAAAAGTTTATGTTTGTTTAGCAGTTGGTTGTTGATGGCTGAATAACTGGTTTGCACTGTACTGCACTTGTATTCAACAGTTAAGCACTGTTTTTTTAGAACTTGTTTATTAAGGACAGATTTTTCAGCTGTATGACTTAAGAATATCCCTGTATCCATAGGTATTACACAGGTTATCTTATGAGTTAAAGTATCTTGGACATCCTTGTGTTCATTCTGGATAGCTTACATATTACAGGTGATCCAATGGGCTAAAGTATCTTGGATATCCTTGTGTTCATTCTGGATAGCTTTCATATTACAGGTGATCCAATGGGCTAAATTATTTTGAATATACCTATATCCATTTTGGATAGCCTTCATATTGCAGGTTATTCAATGGGCTAAAATATTTTGGATATACCTTATCCATTTTGTATAGCTTAAATACTTACAGATTATCCACTTGGCTTTAGATATCCCTGTATCCATGTTGGTTTACATATTACAGGTTATCCAATGGGCTATAGTATTTTGGATATCCCTGTATCCATATTGGTTGACATATTACAGGTTATCCAATGGGTTATAGTATTTTGAATATCCCTGTATCCATATTGGTTTACATGGGGCAGATTATCCAGTCGTAAGTAAGAGCTAGGGTTGCTGCAACGAAGAGAAAGTAGAAGAAAAACATTGCCAGGCCCATCGCTAGAAAATAATTTAAATTAAAGGGACTGTTAACGTAATTTTAAGTGAACTTCGGTAAAAAATGTTAAAATTCTGATTCACAAAGCTATTTTTTTGTTTTCAAGACGGAAATTGATAATTTACAGCAGGGTTATTCTATCAAAGTACGTGTCGGATGTATGCATCAGAGACAACTAAGGCAATTGATAGAATTAATTCTTTTCAAGAAAAAAAACGACGCTGCCAGCCTCATTGCCTGTCTGATAAAGATTTAAAGGGAACCGTATGAATCAAGAATGTAACTTTTTAAATAAAAGACACACTTTAAAAGACGTTAACAGTCCCTTTTAGTATCAGTGTAAGAACCGAACAAGTTGTACAGTGAGAAAAATTATTATTTTTATGTACTGTTCGGTTTTCATTTGAAAATCTCTACCCACATTTTTGTTGTCATCATATTGGAAACGTTTGATATAATATTCGCGTTAATATGTAAGAAAATAACAAAAATAAACTTGAACTTTTTCTGACAAGTTTTTGATGCGATATTGAGATGTTAAAAAATTTTAGTAAACGACTTATTCTTTTGCTCAAAACAGTTTCAAAAAGTTGGGAATTATGTTTAAAAGATTAATTTCATTGGATGATTTGCTCAAAAAATATTTTATAAACTAAAACAATAATTATTTTTTTCTCGTTTTATTTTATAAAATGTATTGGAAGGTTAAAGAAACTTCATAATCAAAAATAAATCTTATCAAAAGTTTAAAGATAAAATATTTTTATTTATTATTTATCCACTTTTCATCAATTATTAGCATTTCTTACAACTATCCAAAATATTAAAATCGAGAACGATTTAATTGAATAAAAAATATTTACAAAAACAACTATATTCTTTTCTAATTTATAATCTGATATTGCATGAGTTGCATAGACTATATATTATAGCAGATCAAATATACAAAAGTTAACACAATCAGGCTGTAAAGATGTTGGAATCATGAATTAGAGTTCAAAAATAGTGACTGCAGTTTCTTTATTCATTTATCCAGTTCTATTGAAAATAAATTTATAATGGATTAGTGTAATAAGATGAATTTTTTTTAAACCTTTGCTAAAAATAGTTTTTTTTAACCTTAATAAGAACTGCAGACATAATTTCAAGTGACCCTTTATTTCTAGAGGGGCTGGTCCGATTGATAACGATACCCTTTATCTTTTTGTTCACGGACATAAATTGCGGAGAAATCCATATTTTTCTCGCTAAAAATTGTGTGTCAAATATATATGTTTACAAGGGTACAATATGAACTACATATTTCCCGCAAATCGTAAATATGTTCAGGGTTTAAAAAAACTGTATGAAAGTTTTTATTTTCTGTGACTCCAGGAAAATTAAAGGGAGTGTTCGTGAAAAATGAAAGGGGGTATAGGCTTACGGCGAAAAATCAGCGCTTTTGATCGCTTCTAATCTTAATTCTATTTGTTGCGTCTATAAGGAGAAAATTGTTAAAAACGACGCATACTGAAGAATGTCGCGTCCATACACATTTAGAAAGTTGCAACATTCGACTTGAATCGTAAACAAATCTATTTGATTCCAAACAAATCATTCAGATATTACAAACAACAGTCATAGATAGTTTTTCGACGCATTCGTACAGAGGTTATATTTCATAATATCTATTTATTTTTTATGATCTGAGAGTTACTTTTGAAAACATTTATTCCTGTTTCGAGGATTTTTGATAATGAAGACGACATTTTCATATTTTTCAGAAATGTTCGAAAATCCAGCGCCAGCGGAATATTATTTAAAAAAACAAAATCAAAAATATTATGAAATATCAACTATATACGAATGCGTCGAAAAATAATCGATGATTATTGGTTGTAATATATGAATGATTTGTTTGGACTTAAGATGATTATTTTACGATCCGAGTCGAATGTTGCAACTTTCTGAATTTGTATAGACGCTACGTTCTTCAAAATCAGTATTATACAACAATTTTCTCCTTATAGACATAGCAGATAGAAGCAAGATTATAGTAGCGATCAAAAGCGCTTATTTTTCGCCATAAACCTATACCCCCTTTCATTTTTCGCGAACACTCCCTTTAAGAATAATATTTTTAGAATAAGGATAACTCCATCAGTTAAAGATTTACATAAAGTACTACTGTGAATCGGACATACTACTCTACATATAAAGGGTCAGATAAAATCATTTTTACAGTCAGTCCCCTTTCATTCATGGCTTTGTAACATGACGATTTAGAACTTTATATGTTGCCTCAAACTATACAAAGGTTTATACCATCAGGTTCTAAAGATTATAAAAGATCTATATATTTACCTTTAGTCATTTTCCAGTTGAAGATTAATATAGAGAAGAATACAAGGAGAAGCATTATAAATAGAAGAGTTATTGAACAAACCATCCCAGCACTGCTTACTGGCACAGAGGTCCCCATAATCAAGGTATACAGCAGCCAGGGGAGAGGTAACCTAAATTTTTATAAATATTAGGGGCAGATCATACATTTTACCAGAATCGTCTGGTATTCCTCTAAGAATTCTATTTTTACACAAATTAACTATATTCAAACAAAATCAAAAGCTCAATTAAACAAAATATACTAAGCATAGGAATCCACAACAAGATAAGATTAGATGGAGTTTTAATTGTATTTATTGTACTCATTTGTGCTCATTAGTACTAATTTGATCTCGTTTGTACTCTTTCACTCAAAAGTACTCATTTGTACTCATTTGTACTAATTTGTATAACTCATTTGTACTATTTTACTTAATGGTACTCAAGGAATAGAATAAGATGAAAAATAACGGATAAAAAATTGCCTTCTCAAATCATATGAATCGTAAAACCTTAAAATTTTAATAGAAAAGAGGCAATTCCTGCCTTAGGCTTGACGGGCCAGATTTCCTAAGGCAATTCCTGCCTTAGGCTTGACGGGCCAGATTTTCTAAGGCAATTCCTGCTTTAGGCTTGACGGGCCAGATTTCCTAAGGCAATTCCTGCCTTAGGCTTGACGGGCCAGATTTCCTAAGTCTTAATACAAATGTCTTTCAAACTTTTGTCATTTGAACTTTTGACTTTGAGCAAGTATTTTTAAACTTTTAAATAACTATAGAGTAGGCCACTGAAAACTTCTGTTCATTTCAATTACCAGCTGAATTTTCACCAGCTTGAGCAAGCTGTACAGTACAGTTACAGACTATGAAAGGGATACCCTTTTAGTAACATTTATCTGAGGTGGCATACACAGGGGTAACCCTAATATCAGTCAAAGTTTTATTTGATATTCCAAATTTTTTTAGACACATTGTATGCATAATTTAAATTATATCTATTCAGTATGAAAATTAGTACAAGTACATTGAATCAAACTATGCAAAATTAATAAAATTAAAAAATTATCAAAAAAGATAAGAAAGAAAGGGGCTAGATGATTATTCTACGTATATTCTATAAAATTGACAATATCAAAAAGAAGCAGATAAACTATACAGATGTGCATTTAAAGGTTTAAACAGTAGAATACTGGCATGCTCAAGGCTAACATCTAAATCATAAAGAAAGGTAAATGGTAAAATTTCAAGACAACTTTCATGTTTCTGCCTGTAAATGAAAATTTAATGAAATTAAAAATTAGGTTTTAAATGCATAAAAAGTATTTTCTTTTTACCTAAACAGTAGACTATATCTAGACAGTTTAAATACAGAATATATTTCAACAAATTTATTCTAGAATATTCTATTCTATTCTATTTTATTTTCTTTTTGAGAAAGATTGTTTTTATAAATATAATATTTCAGGTTGTTCAAAGATATTCAATTCTTAACTTTCAGGTTTCATTTTATAAATAAAAGATTAATTTTACATTTGTAAAATGCAAACCTTTAGAAAACCACACAGGATAATCTACATTAAAGGTTTATTACCGAAGCCCATGGCCGGGGATATAAAGTCTAATGATATATCCCTCAAGGTTATAAGGTACAATGGCAAATATTCTTGTTTGGCAAAATTCCTCATTAAATCCCACAAGGACATAAAATTCCAATTAAAATCCTCGTTAGGGTTTAAAGTTCAACGGTTAATTAAAACTCCACTGGGATATAAAGTTCAACAATAATCCCCAGTGGGATATAAAGTTAACATTGAATGCCTGCAGCGGGATATAAAGTTAAAATTGAATGCCTGCAGTGGGATAAACTTAGTATTGAATGCCTGCAGTGGGATATAAAGTTAATATTGAATGCCTGCAGAGGGATATAAAGTTAATATTGAATGCCTGCAGCGGGATATAAAGTTCAGGAATCCAGAATTCTACGAAAATATCACCAGGATATAAAGTTCAGGAGATGTGAAGTTTTGATAGATTTAAAAATAAACCCCCCTATTTTAATTACAAATTCATATATGAATATATGCAGTTAGTTCTAGCCCCATGACATGCCGATGTCGAATACTTTTTCCAAATTTATTTACCCGACATCTTCGCCATAGGAACAATAGTCGGTTTGAATTTTTCCTGGGATATATTTCACCCAGTTTATTGCATATATGTTAAGTCGAATGCGAGTAATTCATAATTTCAATTTCATAAAAATGTTAAAGTTAAAAACTCGTTTAAAAAGCACTAAGTAATAATTCTACAAATAACTATTTTAAGCATGCAAATATATCTACATGAATCTATCTATCTATCTCACCTTGTATATCTCCCCTAAGAACCAGTTTATGTTATAGGGCAGGGCATCCACTTGTATTCAAACGCCAGTGACACAAAGACGAAGCAGAAGTAAAGTATAAACATGGAGAACCCAAGGGTCTTAGACATCTTCCAACCCGACACGAGAATACAGACGAATACTGCTATGAGCATGGTAAAGAGAAGAACTATAGAGCAGCCTAGACCCTCGCTGCTTACTGTGATTGGCTTCATGAACACTATTGTGTACAGTAACCATGGTAGCGGTAACCTGGATATAGTTATGCTGTAAAGTGACCACTAACCATAGTATCGGTAACCTGGATATAGTTACCCTGTAAAGTGACCACTAACCATAGTATCGGTAACCTGTATATAGTTACCCTGTAAAGAAACCATGGTAGTGGATAAGTAACCTGGATATAGTTTTAATACAGTACCATAGTATAGGGTATAACCAATATATTATCATACTGTAAGTACTCACAATAACTTTAATATAATAAGTAACTATGGTAATTTGCAGTTAAAACCTTCAAATTTCTGCAGAGCTGGGAACGTTAGACTTTTTTGTTTAAATTCTTTTAAATCATTCTTTAGCTGTACTTGTCATTCAATTTTTGATCTTTTAAAAATTGTTCTGTATGTTAAATTTTGTCAAAAATTGGCATATATTACGTTCTTTAATCATTTTGTATCTGATGTAAAAAGTTTGTTGAACATTTTAGGTCACTACTTAAGATGATTCAGAAATGTTTATTTTTATCAACTTCTCATTAAACATACAGGTTATAAATGGTGTATAGTGTTAATGGTTATGATATTGTTGTTGTTGATTTTGGACATGTTAGATTGAAGCAAAGACTCTCTATATAAAGATGCAGCTTTGGAAAATTAACGCAAATTCTACGCACTTTATTTGGTCGAATATAGATTGTAAACAAATATCGTCTTCTCTGGTAAATAAAGGCATTTTTCATTCCATTTAATGATTCATACTTTTCAACCCGAATCCCAACAAATCAATTGATAAGTTAATGAGTTAGATATATGTATACACTTATGCAAAAATATTTCTTTGCTTATGATGAAACAAAACGACATTAGCTCACATTTTAACGTTTCATATTGGATCTATTAGTGTCCTGTCTCTTTCACTGCCCAAAATGTACACAATAGTCATATAAATTTCTATTGCATCATCTTTATATAGAGAGTCTTTGGATTGAAGTATCTAAAAATGACTCATTGTCATTTGCCATTTATTTTTTCTTAGTAAGGTTACAAGGTTACATTCTCAAATGTGGAATCATTTTCAAAGGTAGTAGAAAATTTCAGCCAAGTTTAACACTGAAAAAGCAGTTCTGCAGTTTAAATAGCCAATATCAGCACAATGAGTCCTAATATAACTTCCTTGAAACTATCACAGAATTTAAATTCAAAGTTTAGTATTTCAAACTTTTAAATGTAAAGAATATTTACATTACGAGGCTTTTAGGGCGCTTCGCGCCCATCTGCTATTTCAATTGTGAAAATTTTCTCTCCATACACATTGTAAAGCAAAAACAAACAAAAAATTCGCGGATTTTTTAAAAAAAAAAATCGTGGATTTTCAAAATTTTCTAAAATCAAATTTTGTTAGAGGCAAATTTTTGAAAATTAGATCATCAATAAACCTTCCCTTGGGTCACGTGAAGTCCCATAAAAATTTGGACCCAATCGGTTCAGCCGTTTTGACGTTTATTGGATGCAAACAAACAGACACCCAGACAAGCAAAGTATATTTATATATACACGTTTGAAAACAGTATTCAATAACAACTGCAGAAGGTATAAACCAACTGTTACCAAAGGCATTAAGTCCTACCACAAACTCTGATTTTGAAAACCCTACTTTATTTCATCCCTGTGTCGTAGATCTTTGATATTTCAAACTATGAATTGTTTTAGATAGATCAAATAATCTATGCTTGACAAATTAAAGATGTACACCATCAGGTTGAAAAGCTATAGTGCATAGAAAATTTGAGGATGTGGCAAGAACTGACGAAAAATGTTTTATAAGTTTTAAGTAAAAAATATGTTTGCTGAACTTTCTCTTTAACTTTCAAAACATTTTCCTGCGTTTTTCAAACATTATATTTTCATGTTTCTATAAGGGTGTGTTCATTAATTTTTCCAAACATTATATTTTCATAGTTCTATAAGGGTGTGTTCATTAAGTTTTTCAAACATTATATTTTCATGTTTCTATAAGGGTGTGTTCATTAAGTTTTCCAAACATTATATTTTCATAGTTCTATAAGGGTGTGTTCATTAAGTTTTTCAAACATTATATTTTCATGTTTCTATAAGGGTAGTGTTCATTAAGTTTTTCAAACATTATATTTTCATGTTTCTATAAGGTGTGTTCATTAAGTTTTCCAAACATTATATTTTCATGTTTCTATTAGGGTGTGTTCATTAAGTTTTCCAAACATTATATTTTCATAGTTCTATAAGGTGTGTTCATTAATTTTCCAAACATAATATTTTCATATTTCTATAAGGAGGTGTGTTCATTAACTTTTCCAAACATTTTTATAGATATACTCTTCCTGAAGTCTCATCCCTGGCCCCCCTGGCCCTCCTGCCCCCCCTGGCCCACCTGGCCCCCCTGGCCCCCCTGGTCCTCCTGGCCCTACCCTTTTGTGATAAAAGTTGGCAGGGAAACCAAAACAATGAGTCAAAAAATGTTTGTTAAAAGAATTGATGACATTAAAAATCAGATGAAAAGTTTTGTATAGAATTAGTGTTTTTTTTTCCTCAAATTGAAGCATCATAACTGTAATACATTTCAAATTTTTATTTACGTCTTAGAAAAATATGAACATAAAAGCTTCTGATTTTATTAATTTCTAGATAAATTTTTAAGAAACACCTGAAGCAAGATCATTTTAGTAAATGAAATGTGAAGAGAGTATTTTAACATTAAAATATTAAAAATAAAAGTAAATTTAGACGATTAGTAGTCAGAACTTTTGTATTAAGCAGGGCCAACTTAAAAGTGTCCTTATTCAATAATATAAACGTTCAAATTTAACAGAAAAGTTCCGATCTCAGAGTTCAAATGATATCTTTGTTGCGTTTATGAATCTCAATGGTTATTATCTGGTTGGTTTAAAGAATTAAAATGTTCAAAAAACTTTAAATTGATTCCGTTAAAGCATAATAGTTTAGGAGAATGAAAAATTTAAAGAATGGAAAAGCAAAAATGTCCTAAATCACGACAGTCCCAGCTCTACTGCATACTGCAAATTGTTAAAGTTAAGCATTTCATAAATATCAAGGGTTTCTTGCTCCCTGGCTGTATATTGTAAAAACTAGGATTGAGATATAGCTTGTCATGCTCTTACTCTAGCTTATCCTACACCTCTACACTCCAGGGAGACAAACTTGGTTCATCGATTTTACCGGTTGACATAACACTTAGAAACATTAAAGGGACTGTACACGTAATTTTAAGTGATTCTCCCTTATTAGAGTGACATGTCCGATTTACAACGGACCCTATATGGCGCTATGCATAAGCTATTCGTCATCGTTGCTTTGACAATTGATTATTTCCGTTGTTGTCATTGAATTAGCGCTTTTAAGTATTGTGATATCCACCTTAATGATCATATAACGGATTTTTAAAAAGTGTGAATCTGCTATGCCCTCTTAAAACGTGAAGTAACTTGAAATTAAGCCGACAATCCCTTTAAGGAGCTAGATATATGATTTATTTCCTTAAAGCAATAAAAACAAACCCAGTAGATACATATATAATATATATATATTGAGATATTCGTACTCTTACTGAGCTAGATACTCAGATACTGATTAATCATTATATTAGAACAATGTTAAATAGTTTCCACCAGACTTTTATTAAATCGAAACAAATATTTTCAAGGATGAAACTTCTTTGACTTTCTACAGACTACATGGTACATGAGGGACCCATGAAACTTTTGAATAAGAAAACGAAATTTAAGAATCTAAAGTGTATTTGTTGTTACAAAATATAGTTGAAAGGTTTGAAACTCTAATATGTACAATTGTTGTGTTTAATTTAAGAATCTAAAGTGTATTTGTTGTTACAAAATATAGTTGAAAGGTTTGAAACTCTAATATGTACAATTGTTGTGTTTAATTTAAGAATCTAAAGTGTATTTGTTGTTACAAAATATAGTTGAAAGGTTTGAAAATCTAATGTGTACAATTGTTGTGTTTAATATTCATGAGACTAAAGTAAAATCATAACAGTCGTTCTCTAATCCACTGTTTATAGGATCCACTGAACCATATTTTTATAAAATTCTTTTTTAAAGAAATTTGAATTTGATAAAACGAAAAAGAAGTTTCAACCTGGTTTGGTTTTGGTTTAAGTATGAGTGAGAATAACAGAAATATGAAGAAACAACAAAATATCAATTTCTCTCATAACTTCAAACAATTCCAATTCCATTGTTAGATTTCAAATCTTGACATTGTTAAAAAATAAATTCCATCAATCTTGGAAATGTTTGACATTATGAAATCTTCTGTATTTAGAACTAAAACTCCAAAAACCAAAATAACATTAATGAAAAACAGATTGTTTTTGTTTGTTTTTATTTTAACATCCAATCAGAAGCATTGAAGAAATGTTCTTAGTTTCTTAGTGTTTTGGAGTGAGAGCTAAATTTGAGAAGACTGTTTTCCTACCCGACAGTGACGTCGAATATGTTGCTGCCGACGGAGGAGGAGACGGCCATGTCGCCGAACCCCTTCCTTGCCACGATCACGCTGGTGATGAGGTCAGGTATAGAGGTTCCAGCAGCCAGGAAGGTCAACCCCATTACCTAAATATATTATGTTAAAGGGAATGTTACGGTATTCGTACTAAGGATTTCTGGGCGCTTTGCTTTTTCAGTAATCATTTTAGCTGCATTATATTTCTGATAAATGACTAAAAATATATTGCTATGATTTTAATGTATTTTTTCAAAATCTTGATAAATCCAATTATTGGGCTTGATATTTCTTTCTATGCGTTAATATTGTAGGAGGCTCCTCATAAATCTACGAAGTTTTACATAATTTCGAATTTTATCAGTTTAGTTTCTAAGATTTTTGAAAAATGCTTCCTGTCGGTAATTAAGTAAGAGATAAAACTAAACGATGCAAAATCAATTATTTGTTGACGAACTATTTGAAAAAATCGCTTGAACTTATTTCTTTTGCCTGAGTAAAGTGTAATACGAGCAAACTTGTTGAAAACGATTCCCTCACTCGGGACTAACTATAGTGAGAAGTATTCGGTTTCTTTTATTTGAAATCAAACGGATTTTGGTCTATATCTCAACAACCTTTAAACTTACTGATTCGTTTATTTTATACTTTTTCATTCAAAGGTATTTAAGAAAAAAGGCTAACAAATTATGTTCAAATTGTGATCGAAAGTCACAGCTTTCTGAAATGTTGCCAGAACCGTTCAATTCACGTGCCCTACGTTAGAGGTTGAATCCCATTTAAAATCACAGTTCTCACTTCTCTCGGGGGGGCACATTGCAAGCCTATTGCACTTCATATCAATTCAGGGGCGGACAAAAGGGGGCGTTCCCCCTAAGGAAATGTGCATGAAATGAAATAAAAGCATCAAGGGATGAGAGATACAACGAAAATAGTATTGAATAAATGACCTGAACTGAAACCTTTTAAAATTGTTTTCTCATACATAAAAATTCATTAAACACGTAATAAAAAGGATTATTAAATTATTAGTAAGTGCTCAAAAAAGAAGAGATAATCACCAACATTATTACTATTGATTAGATATGTAAAAATGTTAAAAATGCTAAAATGTTCCATTTTGTTTATTATGGAAAATCGTTTTAATTTGTACACAGTTTAATTCCTATTCAAATTATGAATTGGACAGCAACTTAATTTTTTATTTCTTAATTACCGATAAGATACTTATGCTTAATCGATCTCAATAAAATGTTTCATTTTTGATTTGTAAATCTCTAAATGTGATAATAAATAAGAAATTGGAAATTTACTGATTATCATATCTGATTTTTGCTGTGATCTTTGCATAGTTTAAAGCGCTGAAATTGTTTAACGCGCGAAGTCATGGACACGTTTAGCTTAGCTATAGAGAATGCAGCCCGCAATACTAAACTCCTCCATATAGTCCCTTCTATCATTATCTTATAGATATATTTCCTATATAAGAGAAAATACGCAAATATTTAATGAGAAACCCAACCATCCAGTACAGAACAAGACATTAACACACACCGGTATTTATACTAATTAATATAGATCTGTCAGATATACAGGATTATCTAGAAAGAATGAAACTGTTTTAAACATATTCCTTTATATAATATATGATTCAGAAAAGAAAGGGAACGACTAAGGAATTTTTCTACCACAAACTCAAAATTTGTTGAACCCTTAAAACTTTTCAACCTGATGATTAAAACCTTAGATATTTAAATCTTAGACTATATGCATTGGCAGAATTGATAGTTTGAAATTTCAAAGGCCTACGACAAAGAAAATTCGAGTATGTGGCAAAGAATTCCTTTTCATCAGACGGGTTTAATTTAAAAATATGAAAATACTTTGACAAAACTCGCCAAGTCAGGCCTTACTCTAAACCTTAGATTTGAGACTAAAAAGTGGGTTGGACTCGGGACTAAATATTTTTGATAGCTATAAGTATTAATTACGAATAATTTGTTCGAAATTAGAACAAATTCAGAAAATTGTAAGATTTCCCTAAAATTTTGTTCATAATTTAGAACAAAATGTTCATAATCTCGAAATGATTTTGGTAGTTTGGTACTATGAAAAAAAATTAATGTGTTCATTGTTCACTATTTATAAGCAAATCAGTTTAAAAAATCCACTAAATGCTCAGCATAATTTTAAAATAAAAATAAAGCAGACGACAATCATCTTCATATTTTCTTGTTACCACTGTAAACCGTGGCAAAGTTGGGTAAAAAATAAAGATTTTAGTTTTCGTGAAGTTACAGAAATGGAGATTGAGAATGGATGTAATTAGGTTTAATCATTTATGGCACTTCTCCATTTAAAGCTATTTCAAGTTTTGTTGATGATTCCTTTAACATTAGATGGCATTTCCAAGAATTGATATTTAAGAGCTGTATTTAGTTATACTGGGGTTTAATCCTAAGATTTAAAGAGAATATCAAAGTAATCTGTAAAAGTGGGTCTCAGGTCCAGGATTTTGAAAAATTTAAAGATTTAAATAAACATTAATCCTGCAGGAGAGTGAGTAAATATATTCTCAAACAGATTCAACAATACAATCTTCTAAATACTTCAATAAAATCAAAATCAAAATATTTAAAAACGCAACCATTTTGTGACAAATTATTTATTGAAAAATGATATTTTCAATGATTTTAGTTTTACTGAATTTTTAAAATTGACAAAAAAATTTATTGCAACCTTGTAAACATGACTTAAAACTTTTAAACATGGACCAAATTTATGATTTTGAGCTACGTTGCTGAACTAACTTCTGCCATAAGCCGGTTCAAATTTAATCACTGATTAAAAGTCAAAGATTAAGGAAGAATTTGAATCGGTGATTCAAATTTGAACCGGGGGGTAGGCAGTTCAAATTAATTAAATTCGGTCCATAACTTATTACTAACAACCCACTTGATGCAGATTAGCTGTTCCAGGTTTAGAGGTATAAACTTTTGTATTTCAAATGTACATGATGTTAAAAATCGGTTCCTCTTTCCCTAAGTGGGCCATAAAGGAAATAATTTCCTAATGTTAATTTGGTGGATTTCTCATATAAACTCGGATTTAAACTTAAATTTAGTTGTTTAGTAGTTTACACTGTGGCTATTGACACAAGAAAAATGTATAAACTGTGGAAAAACTTACCAAGAAAAAAAGTCACTTTGACCAATCTAGCTACATGTTAGGTTTACGTCTTCATGTTTTTTTTGCGTGTTTGGGGCAGAGTTTTTCTTTGTTTTTTGAAAGACAAAATAAAATCTCTAACTGTCCCCCTATTCCCATGTTTTTCAATGTTTTTTTTACCAAAAAGTCCGATTAAAGCAAAGTTAAGTGTTCATACACCTGTCATGTTAATCAACATCAGTTTAAGGTTTTTCACTTTTCCAACGGTTAAAAAAAACAAATGAAATCGTAAACTCCCACATGTATTCCATCTAGTCGAAGTAAGTGTCCCCTTTAATAAATATTGTCTAACCTCTGGGGGTATCCCGATGGTATCTCCTGCAACGGTGGCCCACCAAACCATGAGATACGAGAACGCGGCAATCCACAAAATACTCCCAACGAAGGTGACAACAAAGAAGTTTCGGGCTGAAAATAATAATATAAGTTAATACTAATACTTTTACATCATTATATATCCAAGGTGCAATAGATGTAGGGTGAGTGTGGGGTGGGGTGTGTGTGTAGGGTGTGTGTGGGGTAGGGTGGGGGGGGGGTAAAAGATTTCCGTACATTTTTGATTTATTAGGACTACTGAGAAACTGGTTTAGGGTAAATGAACCTTCCTTTTGTCCAGAAAATTTCATTCATTTGTTTTGTTTGGCTAAAACTAGTTCTAAAATGTTAGAGTAAAATATGTTTACAGACCAAATCCCCCCCTCACCTTACATCTATTGCACCTTGACTGTATCGAGGTGCAGACACTGTATTTAGTTAGTTTATGGATGCAGTAATTCTAGTTAAACCGTGCTCTAATATCACTTCAGTTAATTCTGGTTCTTAAAGGGACTGTATGCGTAATTTCAAGTGGCTCTCCATTTGTTTAGAGCGGAATGTCTGCAATACAACGGTGCCCATAATAGCTTAGTCTGTTTGAGCTAAATCAGATATACGTTAGTATCTCTTTAAAAATTGATCATTTTTAAGTTTGATTTTATCGGAATTGTCTTGCAGATTTATGCTGCAGATATAATAGAGAAAATTGTGGGCTTTTCAGCGACAATATTTTCTACGTTATTAATCAGTTAAAAAAGAGTAACCATCTTAATGAGTCAGTAAATTTACACGCTTATTGGAAATAAGTAGAAGGAATATTTTGAGAAAAAAAAATGCATTACAAATTAAGTAATTTTAAATCTCTTAGAGTTATAGCTTCTTTGGGCTTCTAAAACATCTGAGCTGTTTATAATATTCCAAAGTTGTGGGTTTTTAGTAATTGTTTTAATTACGTTCTTCTGCTAGATTTTTACTTGTACAAAAAATATGTGGCCGTAATATCACATTTGGTTAAATTTTTTATTATAGTTTCAAAATTCTTGGAACCTCTTAAACCTCCAAAAAAACATAAAACAAGATAAAATAAAACTTAATGCTACGTCAGGGAACATCGAGAAAAGCCAGAACTGTTTATTCACCAAGTTTTAGAATAAAAGATAAAATTCCAACATCGTTAAAATAAAAAAATTGTTTGTAATAAGACACTTTTCTCCATGAAATATCTAAATATATTATTAAAATTTTTAATTTGAAACAAAACAGTCATATTTTCGAAATTCTTGCAGTGAGTTCTATTTATCGAACAAATGTTAGGAGCAATTTTTTTTCTAACAGTGCATTTGATCTTTTTATATAAACAATCTCGGACGTAAAAAATGTAGAAAATATTTGTAAATATCAGATATTTAACTTAACAGTAGTAAAATATGATAAATATTACAATATTGTCATTTTAAACCTAAACACGTTGAATTCAGTCCTAAACGAGGATTCTGTTTCTTGGAAATTAGTTGGGAAAAAGTAAAATTTTACTCTTTTTTTCAAATTTTTGAAATATTTAAAAAAAACTAATAAAAACAAATTACATGAAAAATACTTTTTGTGAGTTATTAATTTCCTTAATAAAAAGAATTGAAAAAATAACTGGTTAAATTAATTAAGATTTTATCATTTAATTTAAAAGGTTTGTTGTGGTGGGTTGCATTAAAATACCAAAAAAATAAATGGTTTTAAAAATATCTAATATTTATGATCACAGAAACATATCTCAAGTTTTAAACCCAGTTGAAATATCCTAAAATATTTTATCTATATAATAAAGCTCTTCGCTGATATATGTTTGTTTGTTTCTATGTTAGCTATAGCTGGTCAAATGGCTGGAACAAATTGGCTAAACATTTTAGAGGGAACCTTTGGGTATCCCAGGAGTAACATAGGCTAAACAAAATAGATTTTTTCTCTCCAAAATTCCATTTTTTTTTTCAAAATTCGAAATTTTTCTTTTCAAAATTCAAAATTTTTCTTTCCGAAATTTGATTTTAAAAATAAGTTACAGGCGGGCAACGCCGTGCACTTTAGACTACAAGCTATTTACTGTTTAAAATCATCATAATTTTAACTAATTATTTTGCTTTAATTATGCTTAAAAGTACGTTTTTGTGGGATTTGTTACAGTTTTTTGGTGCGAGCTCTTTCCTAAGCAATTTATGGTGCACCTCTTTTAACATACAAACCATATGTTTCACCCTAGTCCCAATAATCCTATCGTGTGGTGCACCCTAGTACCATTTGTAATTATATTTGAACCCTTATCCAATGTAAATCCGGTGCGGCGGTGAACCCTTGTCTCGTTTAAATCCTGCGATGCACCTTTGACCCGTTTAAATCCTTCGGTACTCCCTTGTCCCATTTAAATTCTGTGGTGCACTCTTGTCCCGTTTATATACTGTGATGCACCCTTGTCCGTTTATATACTGTAATGTACCCTTGTCCGTTCATATACTGTTATGTACCCTTGTCCCGTTTATATACTGTGATGTACCCTTGTCCGTTTATATACTGTGATGTACCCTTGTCCGTTTATATACTGTGATGTACCCTTGTCCCGTTTATATACTGTGATGTACCCTTGTCCCGTTTATATACTGTGATGCACCCTTGTCCGTTTATATACTGTGATGTACCCTTGTCCGTTTATATACTGTGATGCACCCTTGTCCGTTTATATATTGTGATGTACCCTTGTCCCGTTTATATACTGTGATGTACCCTTCTCCCGTTTATATACTGTGATGTACCCTTGTCCGTTTATCTACTGTGATGTACCCTTGTCCCGTTTATAAACTGTCATGTACCCTTGTCCGTTTATATACTGTGATGTACCCTTGTCCCGTTTATATACTGTGATGTGCCCTTGTTCGTTTACATAGTGTGATGTACCCTTGTGCCGTTTATATACTGTGATGTACTCTTGTCCGTTTATATACTGTGATGTACCCTTGTCTCGTTTATATACTGTGATGTACCCTTGTCCCGTTTATATACTGTGATGTACCCTTGTCCCGTTTAAATCCTACGGTATGCCATTGTACTGTTATATACTGCGGTGCGCCCCCTTCCTGTTTAAATACTGTGGCGACCCTTGTCCCGTTTTAATCCTACGGTGGACCCTTGTCATGTTTAAATCTTCGGTGTACTCTTGAACTGTTTAAATCCAGCGGAAAACTTGTGTCCTGTTTAAATCCCGCGGTGCAACCTTGTCCCGTTGGAATCCTGTAGTGCACACTTGTCCAGTGGTGCACTCTCGTCTCAGTAATCTTGTGATGCATCCTACTACCAAACAAAACCTGTGGTGCACCCTTCTACCAACCAAGAGCTGTGGTGCACCCTAAGAGTCCTATAAGCATGCAAGCACGTGGTTGAGGTTCAGTCTCAATTTCAAGTGCAGTAATTTTACAACATGTTTACTTGGTGCAGTACACAACATGTGTAGTTAGTGCAGTACACAACATGTTTACTTGGTGCAGTACACAACATGTGTACTTAGTGCAGTACGCAACATGTTTACAGTGTGCAGAACACAACATGTTTACAGTGTGCAGAACACAACATGTTTACGGTGTGCAGAACACAACATGTTTACAGTGTGCAGTACACAACATGTTTACAATTTGCATTACACAACATGTTTACAGTGTGCAGTACACAACATGTGAACTTAGTTCAGTACATGACATGTTTACAGTGTGCAGAACACAACATGTTTACAGTGTGCAGTACACAACATGTTTACAATTTGCAGTACACAACATGTTTACAGTGTGCAGTACACAACATGTTTACAATTTGCAGTACACAACATGTTTACAGTGTGCAGTACACAACATGTTTACAGTGTGCAGTACACAACATATTTACATTGTTCAGTACACAACATGTTTACAGTTTACAGTGTGCAGTACACAACATGTTTACAGTGTTCAGTACACAACATGTTTACAGTGTTCAGTACACAACATGTTTACAATTTGCAGTACACAACATGTTTACAGTGTGCAGAACGCAACATGTTTACAGTGTGCAGTACACAACATGTTTACTGTGTACATATTTCCCTGACCTGACTCCTTCCTAGTATCTGGTAAGGTTAACCAAAGTGGAATGATTATTGGTAAAAACAGGACGTATGTAATTCTTTCTCTCCATGTATCCGGCCAGGATAGATCTAGAGGTTGATTCTCCTCCTCCTCCTCTACTCCTCCCTGTAATTAAAGGTCTATGAGAGAAGTTTGAATACTTACAAGATCTTTTCCTTGTATCCGGGAGGCTCAGCCACAGGGGGAACACGATCGGGAGCAGGATAAAGTACGTGATCGTCTTGGACAGGGATTCCACGGGAACCCTGAGATCTAGAGGTTCAGGTTCCACATCATCAAGGTCGGGGTTCTCTAGATTCAACATGGTTCCAGGTTCCTGAAACAATAGTGCAAAATCATGCAACAGGGTGCCCAGACAAAGATAGAAAATATACTAAAACATAAATCAAAGGAGTCTAGATGGTATGTACAGGGTTACCCAATAAAGAATGAGACTTTAGAGACTATTGTAAGAAATTTGTTTAGTCCGTTTTCTTGCATTCAGGGTTCCTTGTAGGGCCAAAACTGGTATATTTCTGTTCTTGATCATTTAGTAAACCATCACAACACTCAATTAAATGCAAAAACCAAAACAAAAATCAAATTAAAAATCGTTATATTTTTAGAGTTTGTCTTTACAGTCTCATCCATCGTCGGTAACACAGTATATTGTACAGGGTTACCCACAAAGGATGAGACTTCAGAGACAACTGTACAGAACTTTTTTCTCAGAAATGGTTACCTGAAACTAAAAACAGCCTTAGTTAAAGTTGGACTTAGGTCGTCATTAATGTCTCATTCTTTGTTGGTAACACTGTATAATTTACATATTGTACATTTTGTACAACATACATTCAATACAGCTTAGTGCACTCAGTTTAGTAAATGAAAACTTTGAATCCAGAAAAATTTTTGTTAGAAATGTTTTTTTTTATGACATTTCTTGAAGGATAATTATTATTTAAAAAATCTAATGCTCTACTTCACATCTTAGTCTATAACTAATCTATATTCTTATTTCAATGATTGATGGTATGTTAATAAACGTTGATCAGCGAGGAGCAAATATCTATTGCGAGGAGTCATAACAGCAACCGTAGTTTTTCGAACAGCCAAGATAAAAAATTAAAATTTGTTAATTTTTGGAAGAATCTGAAAAATCGGCACTTTTTGGTGTTATCTTTTTTTATTTTATTTTTTAGAACAATTATACAATGCTCACTGGTAAAAAAATTAATTTAGAGTCAATAATATACTAAAAGTATTTTTCAATTGTTACATTATATTACTGAATTAAAAAACCTGTCGATTTAGTGAATATCTTTCAAATGACGTGAATACCATGTTCAATCTCAAATCAAATTGGCTTCGAAAAATTAAAAATCCTTTTAAAAATGGCAAATAAAAAGTTGCCTAACGCAAAGCTTTTGATCCGTCTAAAAGCAGTTATTATTTTCATCAAGCCCTGATCATAACAAACTATTTTCCAAAATTCTGATATTTAGGGTTTGAATGGAAATTTGAGAATCCATTAATAATTTACCGGCGGAAAAATGTTGATTCAAATTTGGTTTACGCCGCAGGGAAATTAAAATATTCCCTCCTGGCTCTCTCCTCAATACCGGAGTATATAGAGAACCAGAAAAAACATCCTCGTTAAAAAAATTAAAATATTTAGAAAGTTCCAATATTTTATTTTATTCTAAATTTTTAATTTAATTTTATTATATTTATCCATCGATCTGAGAGTTAATAAATAGATTAAAAAGTTGAAGCATGCTTCGTAAATATTTTGAAAAGATTTAAATATTTCAAGTTTTATATTTTCTGTACTTAATATTTCACTTGATAAAGGTTGAAATTTCAAAATAGATTTTTGAATAATCTCAGACAGTTCTTTTACAAGAAAAGACGTTCTACCTGATTAACCCATTTACCAGCTTTCATAAGTTACCAAAAGTACGTTAAATAACGTATATTTTACGTTTTCTACGGTGGTAGGCGATTATATCAAAATAAAGAAGACGGGTTTCGGTTTCAATTTTAATTTACATCAAGCTATTAAACAGCATGAATAAACTAAAATATGGAAAAGAAGAGAAGCTGTCAATTAAGAAAGCTTCTCTTTGATTATTTTTAAACCTGTAATTCTTAAAAGCTTTTTGACAATAAAAACAGATTTAAAAAGTCGTCTTCATTATATTGATATAATCGTCTACCACCACTTAAGACCAACATCAAAACAAAAAGTTTTCCATCGAAAGGTATGGACAGGTTGCCCTGGTTTTGACATGACGAGGGGGGGGGGGTAACAATGCTTTTTCTGTTGAAAAAGTCAATTTGATATATGACAATTTTGGAGTGGATTCTCCAAAAACATGATTTTAGATTCCACTTTTCTGACCGGAGGGTTCTGAAATCACGATTTCTATTCGAAATCTTTAATTCTCGTTATCAGACGCAGTGTTTTTTTTTACTGGGTTTCCGATACCGGGGTTCTGATATCATGGTTTCTGATATTGGGTTTCCAGTGGATACCGGGGTTCTGATATCACGGTTTCTGATATCATGGTTTCTGATACCGGGGTTCTGTTGGTATGTTGTTGGTATATTGTTGATGTGTTGTTGATATGTTGTTGTTCTGTTGTTGTTCTGTTGTTGTTCTGTTGTTGTTCTGTTGTTGTTCTGTTGTTGTTCTGTTGTTGTTATGTTATTGACATGTTGTTGATATGTTGGTTTATGTTGCTGTTATGTTGTTGTTATGCTGTTGATATGTTGTGGTTTGATTTGTATTGTATACCCTGTCTTATGCTCCGGAGTGTGGAGTACCTCTAGTTTTATATAAGTTGAACCAACCAATTAGGATAACCTTGTTAACTTGGCTGGAGAGAGATCTATCCTGGACTTAAACCTCTCTTCTCCTCTTCCTCATCCTCTCAACAACATTAATACATCCTCTCCCTCCTCCTCTTCATCCTCATCCACACCCTCATCCACACCCTCATCCTCACCTTCATCCTCACCCTCATTCTCCTGACAAGAACGACAAAACATCATACAATTGTCTAACGTTGTAAACTTTTCCATTGATGTCCGAAAGAGAATTTCTTCAACCAATGTGAACAATTTAAATCTAATTTTAAAAAGAATTTCTCTGTCTTCTCTGTCTGTTCTTGGAAATATCAACCTATCAACCTCCCCCCCCCTCCCCTTCTCCATTTCTTGACCACAACATCTGATGCTTTAACCCCAATCCTCCCGTAAAGAATAAATTGAGGCTCTTACTTAAATGCCCGCAGTAATAATATTAGGATTGTAGACTAGGAAATATGAAGGATGGATGGATAGTTCCATTCTTAGTTCTCCTAAAAGGAGGGTTCCATTCATAGTTCTCCTACGAGGAGGGTTCCATTCTTAGTTCTCCTACAAGGAGGGTTCCATTCTTAATTCTCCTACAAGTAGAGTTCCATTCTTAGTTCTCCTACAAGGAGAGTTCCATTCTTAGTTCTCCTACAAGGAGATTTCCATTCTTAATTCTTCTACAAGCAGAGTTCCATTCATTGTTCTCCTACAAGGAAGGTTTCATTCTTAGTTCTTCTACAAGGAGAGTTTCATTCTTAATTCTCCTACAAGTAGAGTTTCATTCTTAGTTCTCCTACGAGGAGTGTTTCATTCTTGGTTCTCTTACAAGGAGAGTTCCATTCTTAGTTCTTCTACAAGGAGAGTTCCATTCTTAGTTCTCCTACTAGGAGAGTTTCATTCATATTTCTCCTAAAAGGAGGGTTCCATTCTTGGTTCTCCTAAAAGGAGGGTTCCATTCATAGTTCTCCTACAAGGAGGGTTTTATTCTTAGTTCTCCTATAAGGAGGGTTCTACTCTTAGTTCTCCTACAATGAGGGTTCCATTCTTAGTTCTCCTACAAGTAGGGTTCCATTCTTAGATCTCCTGCAAGGAGGGTTCCATTCTTGGGTTCTCCTACAAGGAGGGTTCCATCTTTATTTCTTCTACAAGGAGGGTTAAGTTCTTAGTTCTCCTACAAGGTAAGGATGGTTCCATTCTTAGTTCTCCAACAAGGAGGGGTTCATTCTTGTTTCTCTTACAAGGGAAGGATGGTTCCATTCTTAGTTTTTCTGAAAGGGAAGGAGGTTTTCATTCTTGGTTCTCCTACAAGGGAGGGATTGTTCCATTCTTAGTTCTCTTATAAGGGGTGAATGGTTCCATTCTTTGTTCTCCTACAAGGAGGGTTCCATTCTTGGTTCTCTTACAAGGGATGGTTGGTTCCATTCTTAGTTCTGTTACAAGGGGGGTTCAATTATAAGTTCTCCTTCAAGAAAGGTTCCATTCTTAGTTCTCCTACAAGGAGTGTATTATTCCAGTCTTAGTTCTCCTACAAGGGATGGATGGTTCCAGTCCTAGTTCTCCTACAAGGGAAGGAGGGTTCCATTTTTATTTCTCCTAAAAGGAGGGTTCCATTCTTGGTTCTCCTACAAGGAAAGGATGGCTCAGTTCTTAGTTCTCCAATAAGGAGGGTTCCATTCTTGGTTCTCTTACAAGGGATGTATGGTTCCATTCTTAGTTCTCTTACAAGGGAAGGAGGGTTTCAATCTAAGTTCTCCTAAAAGGAATGTATGGTTCCATTCTTAGAGCTCAAGGGATGGATGGTTCCAGTTTTAGTTCTTCTACAAGGGAATGAGGGTTCAATTCTTAGTTCTCTTACAAGGGTAGGATGGCTCCAATATAGGTTCTTCTACTAAGGAAGGATGAATTGTTTCCCCAAAGGAATTCAGTCTTTGCCACAAACTCAAATTTTCTAATCTATATTTTGGCAACCTTGATATTTCAAACTTAGATTTTTTTATCTAACAGAATTCAAAGTTTGAAATATCTAAGGTCTACGACATTGTGTTGCGAATGCATAAGAATTAGAAAATCAGAGTTTGTGGCAACGACTCATTTCCTTTAGCCAAAAATAGATATTATGTTGTATTGTCGTACACAAAAGGAAGAATCTACTAATGTATGTATATGTTCTAATTATCTATATCTATATATATAATAGAATGAATATTCTTTTCAGAAAACTCTATTCAAACGAAAGCTCTTAAAGCGTTTGTTAAGAAGAGAATGGGGTTCTGGCTGGGAGAAAAATACCGTACTGTTTTCAGCGATATTAACTTAAAACTACACGGTGGGAACTATAAAACTACACAGTGGGAACTATAAAACTACACGATGGTAACTATAAAACTACACGGTGGGAACAATAAAACTACATGGTGGGAACTATAAAACTACATGGTGGGAACTAAAAAACTACACGGTGGGAACTATAAAACTACACGATGGGAACTATAAAACTACACGGTGAAAACTATAAAACTACACGGTGGGAACTATAAAACTACACGGTAGGAACTATAAAACTACACGATGGGAACTATAAAACTGTGGAAATTAAAGACGCAATATTATGTGTACTTGATGTTGTTTTAAAGCAAAAAGTTAGCTCGAAAGTAAAATTATTTCAAGGACTATAAGCGAAATTTCAAGTGAACCTCCATGCAAAGAGATGGCAATGTCCGATTCGCATCGGTACCCTTAATAGCTTTGTCTGATCTTGTATTAATTAGATATCAATGTTTTTAATTTTAAAAAACTGATTTTTTCAATTGTGGTTTCTCTATAAAAGTGACTTGTTCATTTCTACGGCATTTGATCGTGCATTACCCTCTTTGCAAAGAGAGTCACTTGAAATTACACTCACAGTCCCTTTAGTAAAGAGGGGTTTGTGTTCACCGTACAATTGCCGTGTTCATTAGATAATATCAAATCATAAAATCGTTTCATGAGTCGTCTTCCTATTTCATAGTTTCATGAGTCGTCTTCCTATTTCGTAGTTTCATAAGTCGTCTGTACTTAAAGTAAACGATCAAAATTTTAATTTTTGTTTTTGCAAAAGAATAAAGTATCCAGATGAAATTTTGTTTAAGTTTATAAGATAAAAAATGCTATGCAATTCACAAACATGGCTTTTTGATTAAAATACATTAAAATACCATGAAAGGCAAATAAGGGGGGGGGGGTGAATATGAGACGAATAGTTTAACTACGGGTTTTGGTTAAAAAGATTAGTTTATTAATATTATAATTTAAGTTGAAGTCAAGAAATGCCTCAACTTTATCAGAAGATATGAAAGCTAACACTTTTTAGATAGAAAAACGAAGATATCTTTCTGATTGTCACTCAGATCGAGAAAAGGGTACTGTACTGGATGAGAAATGCCACCCTTTTCTTAAAGAGGCACTTGACAAAACATGTACAACCCTTTTAAAGGGACTGTAAAGGAAAAATGAAAGGGGGTATGGGCTGAAAGCTATTCACTTTTAAAGGGACTGCAAAGGAAAAATATAAGGGTGTATGGGCTAAAAGCTAATCACTTTAGCTCTTGATCGCAACCCATGAAAGATATATCTGATGTTCCTGTCTCGAGAAATTGATATAAAACTGTGTGAAATTTATACGAAAATTCATATATATACAATTTTGTATAGAAATAGTAGGTTTAAACGGGTCATATTTAGCAAATACGCAACCAACCTGTAAACAAAGATATCCTAGAGAAACCTGATTGTAACTTAGGTTTTCTCCAATTATTATTTATAATTTTGATTTTGATTTTAAATTGATATAATTGATAATATTATGTGAAAGTACATATGACGTCATCAGAACTTCCACCAATGGTTGTGCAGTATACTTGTCATGTGATACATACATAGACACGTGGCCAGTATACTGCATTCTCAGTGGTGGGAGTTCTGCTGCATATATATGAATTTTCGTACAAATTTGACACAGTTTTATATCAATTTCTTGAGACAGGAACATCAGATATAACTTTCCTCGGTCCCGTTCAAGAGCTAAAGTGAATAGCTTTCAGCCTGTACCCTCTTTCATTTTTCCTTTACAGTCCCTTTAAGTTTTAAAATATGTGTTTAAAATATGAGGACTCCATGATTGAGTTGGTTTAGAATAAGACTTGATTTGCCATGTTCTCAATTCTATGGGAAATTTAAGAAGTGTCGAGTGCTAATATAAGGCTGGGAACCATTTTAAGATCCATTTATAAAAATTCAAGGCTTTTTTACTTTACAGGATGGTAACAATTGAATCGGAATGTTTATTAAACAATAAGATATGATTTTTCATAAGCTTTTTTGTTACAATTTATGCAAATTTACAAAAGATAATAACCAAAACGATATTTTCAAATAATCAGTCATCTCATTTTCTTGTGGAAACTTTTAACTGTCAAAAACCTTGAACGTGAAAAGGAAGATTAGTAGTAATTTCAAGTGACCTTCCAATCAAAGAAAGAATTGCCCAAATTCACAATGGTGCCCTTTAAAACTATATATGATAAAAATTGTCATTTTTCTTGTTTAAAAAGTGTTTACAATTTTCCCTATTGTTTTTCAAGCAGAAATATGCAAGTTATATTATGAGAAACCCCAATCGACAATAATCAATTTTTAAAAATAAGATGATAAAAATCTCGTTTATACTTGATCAGACGGGGCACTGTCGTAAATCGGACATGCCAGTCACGAAATGAGGAGTAAAAACGAACTTCAAACGATGGCCATCCTTAGTGCTAAAAGCTTTTCATCGGGGATTCTCACAGACTGAGAGAGTTATATATTTGCCTTGAGAGGGNGTACTAGAGAACCAAGGATAATACTCTAGAAAAACCAGCATATTTTGTTTGAAAATAGCTTATTGCAAGAACCTCTTAAGATGAGTATATAAATAAACTTAACCAGTAAAAAAACTATTATAAATTTTGCGTGTCTTTCTGTTTGTTTGTGTCTTCTAAACGTCTTGTGGTGACCCAAATTACCCCAGGTAATGTTTATCCACCGAAAAGTACGATTTTAAACGTCGACTCAGGATTTACAGATCTTTAAAAAGTTTTATATGTCTCAAATGAATCCTAAAGAATTTGTCCACAACACTGTAAACTCAGCTTAACTACCATAGCCGGTCTGTCCCTTTAAAATAGTCAAAATTGGGGAATTCTTGCGAAGAACATAAGTTAAGTATTTAATTATATGTCATTATTTTATTTCAAAAAAGTTGCTGTAGCTTAAAAATTCCTATGATACATGGCGATTTTCGGGATATTCAAAGATTTCTTATTAGAAATTTCAACCTTGCAAAATTTCCATTCTAAAAATATTTTCTTTCTTCAAAGACTTACGTATTTGCCCGAAAAACATAAATCATATTAAAAACGATTCGGATAATAATCATCTTTTTTTTAATCTATGTTTCCTTTTTATTTTAGCAACCCAGAGGCCAAATTTAATGAATTTGAACTGCTTTCCACCGGTTCAAAAGTGAATCGCCGATTCAAATCTTTCCTTAGCCTTTGAATCGGTGGTACAAATTTAAATTGGCAACCAGGTAGTTCAGCGACGTGGCTCAATTTCATTAAATTCGGTCCCTTACGTCAATAGATATTTTAAAACATATACTCTATCAGATCACATGATAAGTGCCAAGAGCTATTTTCCACCTAATTGTCTGTTAATATAATCATCAAAATGTAATTGTAAACTCGTTCTGTACATAGATACATGTATTTTAGCAATAAACTTTATCTATCTATCTATCTAAGTCATACTTTAAAATATCATATGCTTACACCATCAGGTAACAATGATATAAGGATTAGAAGATTTGTGGTTTGAGGCGAGTAATCTGTTCATTTCCTTAAAAGTGAATGTTTTTTTTAAAACTTTAATTCCTTCGAAAAAATCCTGAAGATATATTATTCCTAAGCCTTCAGCAGAATTTTCGAATTAAAAATTCGTCTTATTTGACTCACTGAAAGAAGACAGCATGCGAAATAAGAATTTTGGAATGAATTTCAATTTAAATAATAATCTTGAAGTTAAATTACTAGTTTGGGTGCTCCTCGGAATATAGTGCATAGGCATAGATTACTTAGTGGGTACACAACACAGGTTTAGAGCAAAATCATAGATAAATAAGTCCTGTTTGGTCGCGTTCTAATTCTAGTATTCTACAAAGTACAGTGTGATGACGACCTTCTAACCGTTCGTGATTCACACGAAGTTTTTTCGTGAACGCAGTAAAGATAGTCACGTAACTATACTTTAAACAGTTAACATCGAAAAATCTTGTTATGAGATTTCCAAAATGTGGTCTGGCGTATTCATTCCTTCGGTCACGCATTGGGCCTTTTTCCATACGCGTTCTGCCAATTAACAATGATCAGAAATCATTGACGATTTCTATTTTTATTTTTATTTTGTTTTTAAACTTAATATGCACAATAAGTTACGCCATTAATACCGTATATCTCAAGTTTTAACAAAAATATTGAGATTAGAACACTTTAGGGTTTGATTATAAAATTGCCTCAATATCATTAAATGCACAAGATAAAGACGATAGTAAAGTCGTTTATCATTCCCACGGTTAAATTGCGTTGATTTTCTTTAATACAAAAAATATCAGCGTATGCGAAACACAAAAGGACTTTTTATCTATATTTTTGGTTTAAATAATCACAAATTTCAAGCCTTTTATCACAAGCAGGTTTACAGCAGTACTCTTTAGTTTTATAGGAATTCTTCATTGATCAGAAAACTTTTCTAAAAGTAAAAAATGAAGATATCCTGTAAACGTACAGGTTTAGAAGATGGTAAACGTACGTTAATTTGGACGGGATAGGTTGGGGCGGATACCCCAGTGGTTCCATTCTGTAATCCAGTTTGGGACAACTGCTCTGAATTTGTGTACGCATCAACAAGTCCAACCTAACCAAATAATAGGTTCGCAAACAATAGTTGGATAAACTACTAGCGTTGAAATCTTTTTGAAAAATTTACCTCTGACCCAGTTGCCCGGCCGCTATCCCCACCCTCCCCCTGGTGACCGTCAGCGGTACCGTTCACACCATCCTGGGGTTTAGTAGCATCCAAGAGAACCTGAATAAAAGATATTTGGTTTAAACCTTAGAATATACAATATACATTATACATATGTAAATCCTGGAACTAGAACACTAAAAAAAGATCAGAAAAGAACTGGAAATGATATGCCTAGTTAGCTGAATTAAAAAAGATTTGAAAGGAATTACAATTGCCCAGAAAGACCTAAAAATATCTAGAATACTCTGAAATGCCTCAGGAAGACCAAAACAGATCTAAAAAAGAACTAGAATACCCGAGAAAGACCTAAAAGAATCTGAAAGGAACTAGAAAGTCCTAAAAAGATTTAAAAGAAACAAGAATGACCTAGAAATACATAAAAAGATTTGTAAGGAGCTAGAATTCCTGAGAAAGACCTGCAGAAAGAATCTGAAAGGAATACAAAGTTCCGTTAGATTAAACCAATACAAAGTAGAACTCCAATAATCATTTATTCTAGATTTAACAGCGCCATTTATCTACAGTTATATGTGTAGGAAGTCTATACCGTCTTCAGTCTACTGTCTACTGTCTACTGTCTACTGTCTACTGTCTACTGTCTACTGTCTACTGTCTACTGTCTACTTAGCTGTCGTCAGAGTTGGGTCTAAGATTGGGTCTTAAAGCTGCGTTTAAGGAATTAAGACTCGAGCCGAAGCTTTTAAATCGCGGGCTCTGTACATTGTTCTCAGGCCCACTTTACATAATGAGTTAATTTGATTTTTGAGCTACTAGTAAAATAATCTGCCCTATAACAGCATCAAGATTGATTAAATGTCGTCTTCCTCTTTCACAGTATAACAGGCCTCTCTGTGTCGAGGGATAAAAATAATTTTAATAGATTTCATCTAATCTGACGTCAATTAATGTACTGAGAGAGAGAGAGCGGATTCAATATCCTATCACGAAATTCAGAAAATAAATTTAGTTCATCGATAAAGATTTAAAACCTTTTGATCAAATAATTGAATTATTTCTTATTTACCTTGAGACTTGCAATTGCATGGAGCTGAGTCGCTTTCTCGTCAACTTTCCCTAAAATATTGAAAATTTAAAAAATCCGCAAAAATAGTTGAAATACGCCAATTTGGAGTAATAGATTATTTACGTCAAATATTAAGCATGAATTTACGATCAAGATAGAAATAAAGGTATAAAATGTCAGTGGAAAATTTTTACATTGAAAGTAAGGACAAAGTAAAAATTCTTCACCTTCATTCTATGATTTTATTTCTTCTTTTTTTATTAAATGTTTCTTTTCTCAGGAGTTTTTCCTGTGATTCATTAGCAAGGGTGGTGGAGCGAAGTAATTGAAGATTGAAGGAAAGGAAATAAGGACAGCATAGATTAAGAGGGGCAGGAATAGGATGAACAGGGGGGGTTTTTAATAAACAGGACGAGGTATGAAATGAACAGGTTTATAAAACAGAAGGATGATCAGGAGTCTTAAACGAACAGGAAAGGGGGGGGGGGAAGGCAAAGTGAATAAATACTAAAGTGGACCAAACTCATAGTTGGATGACGACATTTTATGTCCCAAGTATTTAGAAATATGTATGTATATATATAAATTGGTCTGTATACGGAGTGTACAGTACAACAGAAACTGGACTCCCTTTGTTTACAAACACAGACTTAGAATTTGTATTTAACTTAAATATAAGTTAACGTAAATTAAGATTTCAGAAGTGAATTTTAGCCATTTTGCTGCACAGTAAATGATTTCAGACAACACAATAATGCCTGCAAGCATAATCTGTAAAACAAGGAATGCACAATTTGTGATACCGAAAAATGAAGATCTACGAAATATATCTCTTGGTCTCCACTTTTGTATTTTGACAGATTTAAGAGTGGTTGAGAACTATACATAGTTTTAAAGATATTAAGGGCTTACATTTCTTTTTCTTTTTGGGAGGGGGGAGGCCGACCCCCCCCCCACTGATCCAGGAGGGGGATGAGCCACCATAGCCCCCCTGAATACGCCTCTGGATGATAACATAGATCTGTTTTAAGAAATTTACAAACATATTTCAAAATGGAGGGAGATTTGAAACAAAACTAATCAGTTTTAAGGATAAATTCTTTTAGAATTAGAAGTGCCAGGGAAAATCAATGAATTGATTAAGCGACTAAATATTATTTACATATAAACTACATAGAAACGTACAAAAATTTTTGATTTTAAATCGTGAAAATTTCGAAGTTCTATCTGAAGACGACATTTACATGGGTCTTTAGTCTATTTTTTCTAGTCTTTACTTTCCAAACGAAATCTTTTCATGAAATTATTTCCAAACCAAATAAAACCTTATGGCCCAACCTGTCGTCGTTTCCTTAGTCTGTTCCACTTTAGTATTTATTCACTTTGGGGGGAAGGTTGGATGAACAGGATATAAAACTATAAAAGTATATAGCAGGCTAAGACTATAAAGGACAGGGGGTAGATTGAAACAAAGATGTAAAATTTTACTCAAAATGATGAAATGTGTAAAATTGAATTCGCTTTAAATAAAAAATGTTTTTGAAATTCAGAAAATATAATCATCGTAAAGCTGGGAATGGTAGTAAAGAAGAGACCAATGAATAAAAAGGAAAGAAAAAATGATTAAGGGAAGATGGAAGCCGGGATACAAAACAGAATTGATATGGGGAAAAGGAAAGGAAAACTTAAAGGAGAAGAGAAAAATAGGGGATATGTATAGAAAAAAATATGATATTTGGGGGAAAAACAGATATGGGAGAAGAAGGAAGAACGGGGATAGAAAAGACAAGGAGAAGATGCAAAAGAGAAGGAGAAGATGCAAAAGAGAAGGAGAAGATGGAAAAGAGAAGGAGAAGATGCAAAAGAGAAGGAGAAGATTCAAAAGAGAAGGAGATGATGGGAAAGAGAAGGAGAAGTAAAAGAGAGGGAGAAGATGCAAAAAAAGAAGGAGAAGAAGGAAAAGATAATGAGAAGAAGGAAAAGAGAAGGAGAAGAAGGAAAAGAGAGGAAGAAGAAGGAAAAGAGAATGAGAAGAAGGAAAAGAGAATGAGAAGAAGGAAAAGAGAGGAAGAAGAAGAAAAAGAGAAGAAGAAGATGGAAAAGAGAAGGAGAAGAAGGAAAAGAGAAGGATAAGAAGGAAAAGAAAATGAGAAGATGGAAAAGAGAAGGATAAGAAGGAAAAGAGAAGGAGAAGAAGGAAAAGAGAAGAAGAAGAAGAAGGAAAAGAGAAGGAGAAGATGGAAAAGAGAAGGAGAAGAAGAAAAAGAGAAGGAGAAAAAGGAAAAGAGAATGAAAAGAAGGAAAAAAGTAGGAGAAGAAGGAAAAGAGAAAGGAGAAGAAGGAAAAGAGAAGGAGAAAATAGAAAAGAGAAAAAGAAAATAAGAAGAAAAAGAAGTAAAGTAAGATAAAGAAAATAGGAAGCAAATATAAGAATCTTAAAGATATGGATGAGGAACAGAAATAGAAATCGACGAAGAAAAGAAAAAAAAAGAAAATTTTTTTTTTACTGAAAGCAATATACAAAGTTTAAAAAAGAAACCTTGGATAAGAAAATTGATAGAAAGGTTGTTGGTTTAAGAGGAAAAAGATATCGATAAAGCAAATAAAATAAGAAAAAATTAATGACTTTAGACGTGGAAAACTTATTTGAGAATTTAAGACTTATTTTATTTCTTATTTATCTAAGTCTATTTAACATAAATTTAACGTACTTTCATGCTGGATTAAATATAAATTAGATTATTTAATTTATTCTATCCAACCAATCAGAAACATTTCTAAAACTAATTTGAATCCTAAGTTAAGCTTAAATTAGAAATCTAACTGTATACCGCAGAAAACGCTGAAAACTCTTTAAAGTTTTCAACATTTTGAATTTCAACTCATGACAAAATATTTAAAGAATTTGAATTTTGTACAAAATGACGATTTTTCAGTGTTTTTCAAAACAAAACTTAACTAAAATTTTTTGTTTATGACCTGAAAAATATTTTTTAGAAGAAATTTAATTGAAAAATATCAGATGATGAATAAAATTTTGTTCTGTTTAATCACTTTTGATAAACTTTCCATCGAAATACTCTTTTTAAAAGCAAATCATACAATTCTGTTCTTATAAAAAATAAATGGTTTCATTGTTCTATTCTCATTGAATTAATCATCCATGAAGGTAAATTATAGAAAATAAAAAAGAAGGAAATAAATAAATCAAAATTTTTCTAAAATGATAATAAAGTAAATTAAATTAATGAATTCGTCTAGCTCTATAATGAATAAGAATGTGAAATTTAAGTAAAGGAGTTGAGTTTTTGCCACAAATCCCAATTTTATAATACTTATATCTCAACAACCAGATGATGCATACCTTTCATATTTCAAACTTACATTGTTTGATCCACCAGAATTCCTAGTTTGAAATATCTACAGTCTGCTACATTTGGTTTTAAATAAATAAAATAAATAAAAATCCGAGTTTGTGGCAAAGACTCAATTCCTTTCTCATTAGATTGAAATCTTACATTTTTTAAATATCAAAACTCCTATTATTGAAGAACTATTGAGAAAATCCTATTTTATCATATTTTCGCTAATACTAGAGGATATCAGTTCTGTGCAGCATAAAATGAAATTTATTCTTTTTCTTGTGTAGTGTGAAATGTCCACAAAAAGAAAATGAAACCCTAAATTATTGTTGAAAATATTAAATTAATAACGTGATAAGTAAAAATAACAGAAAGTAATCGTCGTTAAGGCTCCTATAATAGAGCTATAAATACTTTTTCCAAGATTTAAAAACTGTTCAAGCAATCCCAAGTTTTTTGTTTCCAAAATTACCAAATTAGTTTATATGCCTTAATTTGTATTTTATTTTTATTTAATAGAAAGGGTAGAATAGGTTGAATTCTAGAAGAGCTCATAACAACAAAATTTATGATTTTGGGTGAAAAAGTATTTATCTATGCAGTTGTTGTATTTATGTATATATTATAATTTTATTGTGCTAATGCAATGCATGGATTGATTTAAGTTAAATCTTTTAAACTTTGCTTATGCAAAGTGCATGCATTCAATCTAGAGTTGAGAATCTTTAACTGTTTAAAAACAAACAAAAGATTTTTAAAGATAATTTTATATTGAGATAATTTTGTGTGTCTACAGTTTTCATCAAGTCAATTTTCATTTTCAACAATTTGTAAAAACCTTTGACTTAAAACTATTTAAGGATATATCTGATGTTTAAAGAAACAATCAATAGTTAGATAAAAGAACTGTTGAAAGATTGGACCAGCGGAATTTATTTCCGATATTTTACCAATTTTCTTAAATGGACTTTTGACGTAAGTGACCCTTCATTACAGGTCTTATTCACAACAGTACCAAATACAACTTTATTTGAGTAACAGTTTTTCTAGCTAGAAAAAAATCTGCAAAGGAATGGAGTTTTTGCAACAAACTCTAATTTTCTAATCTCTATATCTTTTCAAACTGATGCCGTAGACCTTAGACAGTTTATACTTTGAATTCTGATGGATCATATTATCATAGTTTGAAATATCAAAGGTTTACACCATCAGGTTGGACAGATATAGAGATCAGAAAATTTTAACTTTTAGAAAAGGCTCGATTAATTTCTTCCCCTGTCCCTGGCCCCTTCAGATTTATTACAAAACTGCAAATAAAGTTATAAATTTTCAGAAATAAATACAAGGATATGTCAGTCATTTTTATTTGGACAAAGGTTTAAAAGTTACCGTTATGAATCTGGTATATGCAATTCTTTAAATGGAGGGTCATTTGAAATATCGTCCAAAGTGCCTTTGTTTAAAGTTCTGTATGTATATTGAAAAAGGTTCTTTCGTTGAATTAGAGACAAACAAAAATCACTCTTCTTACTTGTATAATGATACATGCATTCTATTAAAAAAGTGATGTCACTAAATTTCTACATTTGGTCCTGGATAGATTCCTTGGATTTTTCTTTGCACCAGGACTATAGAACTGAAAATGATTTTTTTAAATGGGGTTTAATATAAAAGATAATAAAGCTTAATATTAAAAGAGATAAGATGCTTTTGTATGATTGAATCAATTATTTATTGAAAAATAATCTCTTGCTAAAAAGTAAAAAAACCGGCAAAGATATTCTTCATAGAGATATTAGATGAAAAATATATTAGACTTTCCATTAAACCTAAAAATCATTTATCATCGTTCTATTCACAGGGATAAGAAATTATCCAGATAGACGTAAAAATAAATCATAGAAAGTAGCAAGAAGTCACGACGTTTGGTCTAAATTTAAATTATTTGGTTTGGTTTGGTTTTGGCGGGAAAATATCCAGGACACGTGGAAGTGGAGAAAGCTTCTACCAAAACTACTGCTACCGTCGTGAAGTGGGTCTATTGTGTGGATCATCAGCTGAAGAAGACCGTGGCGGAAGTGGGAACCAGAGTGAAGGACGGGGATCCCTGTAGAAGGCCTAAACATACAGCTTTAGTATTGTTAGTTCTAAATTAAATTGCATCCTAATTTCATATCCTGCTAACTGAAGGAATTTGACAGCTGAACTTGATATCCAGTGGAATTTTTTATTGAACTGAAGAGCTAAATCTAGGAATTCCAGGGAAATTTCCCAGTTCAAGTAAACTCTAATGTTTTGAAGACAAAAATCTTTTGTGGAACTTGTAAAAGCTTTGGGATTTAGGAGGATACTGGGATAATTTGACTTTTAACAATTTCTAAAACCCTTCCTTTGCACAATTCAGTTCAATCAGAGTTCAATCTCATCATTATTGTTAAAAGAACATTATTTGGACAATGCACAAAGCTAAAGTTATTAGGAAGGTAATTGTGAGAAAGGTTGTTGTAAATATTATTTTTAAAAGGGACCAACCTGTGTCCTTCTGATACCATTGTGGACGCCATTGCTCCTCCAGTTACTCCGGCCTAAAAATAGATAATTAAAAATAATGTTGTGGATTTGTTTAGATTATCTTGTTGCAATTCAAATCTTTGGTTATTTAGTTTTCTACTTCTCTAGTTCTTTAGTTTTCTTGTTCATCAGTTCTATAGTTCTTTAGTTCTCTTATTTTCTAAGTTCTCTATCCTATAGTTCTCTTTTTTTCTAACTTCCCTAGTTCTCTACTTCTCTAGTTCTTTAACTTTCTTTTTCGTTCGTTCTATAGTTCTATAATTCACTAGTTCTCTATTCTCTATTACTTTATTCTCTAGTGCTATATTCTCTAGTACTGTATTCTCTAGTTCTCTAGTTCTCTAGTTCTCCAGTTCTCTAGTTTTCTTTTACATTTTTATTTTTAATTTATATTTTTTTACAATATTTTTTTTACGCATGTTATATTTCTCAGGCTGATGTTGTATCTTCTGTTTAGCTGATCATTCTTCAATATTCTTTAAATATTTATATGATATCAGATGAAAATATTTTGTGGTTCATACATCTTTCAATTATATTTTGGCTATTTTAAAAAAAACCCGATATTTTTGGGATATCCTTGCAGTATGCCATGCTACAAGCTAGAACTATGCTAAGAGAATCTTGCTTTTTTTCCTGAACTCTTTATTTACTCATGTCTTACATTTGACTCATCAAAACACACAATCCTGATACTCTCTCTCTTCCATCTAGAGTAAAATAGCTGAAGGGGGAGGGGGGCATCTTCCAAGCTCCCATCTCTAATGTTTGTTTCCATTCGCTAACGGTTTAAATGATTATATATGATAGTGCAGAGCTTATCATCAAAGATTTCCCTTCCAATGGTTCTTGTTCAATTTTCTATTTTCTTTTTTCTTCTTGTTTCTTGTTTCTTATTTCTACGCTTTGAGGCCTTCTCTGGTTCTCTAGTTCAATAGTTATCTAGTTCTATAGTTTAATATTTATCTAATCTAGTTCTTTAGTTCTCAAGTTCTCTAGTTATCTAGTTCTCTAGTTCTCAAGTTCTCTAGTTCTCAAGTTCTCTAGTTCTTTAGTTCTCAAGTTCTCTAGTTCTTTAGTTCTCTAGTTCTCTAGTTCTCTAGTTCTCTAGTTCTTCAGTTCTCTAGTTCTCTAGTTCTTCAGTTCTCTAGTTCTCTAGTGCTCTAGTTCTCTAGTTCTTTAGTTCTCTAGTTCTCTAGTTCTCTAGTTCTCAAGTCCTCTAGTTCTCTAGTTCTTTAGTTTTCTAGTTCTCTAGTTCTCTAGTTCTTTAGTTCTCTTGTTCTCTAGTTCTCTAGTTCTCTAGTTCTCAAGTTCTCTAGTTCTCTAGTTCTTTAGTTTTCTAGTTCTCTAGTTCTCTAGTTTTTTAGTTCTCTTGTTCTCTAGTTCTCTAGTTCTCTAGTTCTCTAGTTCTCTAGTTCTTTAGTTTTCTAGTTCTCTAGTTCTCTAGTTCTTTAGTTCTCTTGTTCTCTAGTTCTCTAGTTCTCTAGTTCTCTAGTTCTCTAGTTCTCTAGTTCTCTGGTTCTTTAGTTCTCTAGTTCTTTAGTTCTCTAGTTCTCTAGTTCTCTTGTTCTGTTGTTCTCTAGTTCTCTAGTTGTCCTATAGTGAATAGTTGACAGAACAAGACAAATAAGAAATATTAAGATAAACAAAATTGTCTAATCTATAATAATCCTTAGATTAGGTCAATATAAAACTTTTAACTCCGAAAAAGAAACAATTTTAAATTCAATCAATTTTTAAAACTCTAAAAATTGGACAAAGGTAGAACAAGCTGAACAAATGCATTATGCAAGACAAAATTCAAGCTCTAATTTCCGGAAAATGAAAGATATTTACTAAAAAATATATATGTGTGTATGTAATACACAGAAATACTTATAAACATAAAAATATGCTGAATATGCATGCATACTCCACCTTAATTAGTATTGAAACTAATAGAAGTTTTATTCTTTATCTTTCCTTAATTAATTTTTTTATCGTATAAGATTATAAGACATTTAAAAATCATGGATTAGAAAATGGATTCAAAAAGTTTTATAATTCTAATAAATCCGTGAAAGAAATGTTAAAAAAATTAACCTTTAACTGATGTTAATTAACAAATTTTCAAATTAATTAATTTCCGTTCCCTCGTTTGTAAAATGCAAATGGCATAATAAAGTTGGATTACCTAAAATCCTTTAGATTAACATAGTTTGTATATTTTTTACGCATTTATATACAACCTTTCAAATATGATATAAAGGGAGTGTACGCATAATTACAAGTGACCCTCCATCCAAAGATGGCAATGTCCGATTAACAACGGTACCATTGAAACCTCTATCTGATCAAGAACGTGGAGGATATCTTTGTTTTTCCAACTTGAAAAAAATTCAGTTTTGATAATTCCTATATCTCTGCCTGTCGTACAGAAATGCGTAAGTCACTTTTGCAGAGAAATCAAAATTATAAACATTGATATCTAAATCATACTTGATCAGACAAAGCCTCCAAAAGTACCACAGTGTATCAGGGTCTGACATCTTTGCATGGAGGGTTACATGAAATTACGCTTACAGTCCCTGTCAATAAGAATTGAAATTTAAACTACTGCATGCTAAACTTTTTTTACGACTAGGATTTTTTTTAATCATTCAAAAAAATTTCTTGTACAGAAAAAAACACGAACATTTTGATCGTAATATCAAACAACCATGAACGCATTTTGAAATAACGGATAATATGTTTGAATTTGAAAACAGAAATAGCTGTCAAATATTCGGTTAAACATAACTTAATTCAAAATAAACATTAAAACATTCTCATATTCTAGCAAAATGGTAGCATAAAATTTCGAAATAGTTTAGATCATTTTTTTTAATAGTTTGTTTGCGTAACTTTGAGCAACAGTTATGTTGAAGAATGCCAATAACAATTCACAATCTTAAAATTAAATCAGTAGATTTTTACAGAATAAGTAAACGATAAAATGGCCGAGTTATGGTTTAGTTCAGATTGAAAAACGACAATAACCTTCTCAATAGTTTTTATTTAAACCATGTGTATAGTCGAATTTTTACAAGGAAAAGCACATCTTTTATTTTATTTTCGTCGCGGAACGAACTTTATAAAATCTGAACACTAAAGATTTATCAGATTAAGTTAATATTGCATAAATCGGATTATTTTTTAAAACAATTTTGATAATCAGCTTACTCCGGTTTATTGACTTTCAGGAGTCAGGAATATTCAAATAACTAATCATTTTTGTAAGAATAATATGCAAAATGGACGAATTTGTGTAATATTTTACAGTTTTGTAGTTTTTTTATACAAATATACATATGTGTATATATATTTTTATTTACATGAGCAGAGAAAACGTACAAATACTAATCAACTATGTAGAATAGAATAGAATAGATGATAAAATCATGCAAAAACACGCTAACTATATAACTATATTACAGTGGTAACCAGAAAACTATGGACTAATCGTCGTTTGTTCTTTCTTTTATTTTAGAAATGTTTTGTATTTTGTTATTGTTAGAACTGAAACTCTTCATGGGACATATCTAGAAGTTTTCCAAGTGCTATTTCGAGGGATTCCCTAGTTTTATGGTTACCACCGCATTTTCTTACAAACTGTACAAATTGTACAAATTGTACAGCTATGTACGGGTCTCACCAAGGCAGCAGCTGCAGATTGATGCTAAAACATTTACTTTGTTCAGACAAATTCATGGGGTACACGAGAAAAAGGTACAACGGGACCCTCATATCATATCATAAAAGTGTACTGCATTTTCTGGGAGAAAATTAAACAAAACTTACGCTTACCACCAGCACCGTTATGTTTACATTGCTCCAAGATACTATTTAGTACACCATTGTTGTGAGTCTTAACCCTTGATATAAAAATAATGATAGTCTCTAAAGGCTGTGGTAGTGTTGGGGATACGAATTCTTTCGTTTTTTAAGACTTTTAAGGGATTTGGACTTCACAAAATTTTGAGAAGTTAAAAAAAATTTGAAAACTGTTTTTTTCAAAAACATTTGATTTTCTTACACTAAAAAAATTAAAATTTTAACCCTTTAACAAACTAACTAACCAAATGAGCGATCGTTTTTTTGGTTCGGCTTTTAGTTCGTTCAGGTATACATCTTCTCCCAGGGTTAACATTTTATATAGTGTATGAAAACCAAATGTTTAGAAAAATAATTTTTGAATTTGTGAAACTTCTCCAAATTTTGTGGAACCCAACACTATCATTTGGGACATTATTTATGAAGCTAGAACCTTACAAATATAAATAAGAAAAATATAAATACTTCAGTATATATATCTTATCTATAATTCATCAAAGAAACAACTCGATTATATTTTCCACAAGGAGTTCTATAGTGTACAACAGAGTACACGACCAATAAACAGGATAAGCCTAGACCTCTATCTATATGGATTTTTAAGGATCTTTTGGATTCTTAGAATACGGACTACACATTATCAAAAATTGTATGTTAAAAGTTTTTATTAGATTAGAATCTGATATATACAGACCCCCAAACTCTAAAACCTCAACGATACGCACATAATCTTTATGGCTTTGGGAGGAAAGTAAAAAGGTCAGTGTAGCTTCAACTTGAATCTATGTAAGAAAGTCCCGGGAACAAAAAGTTTCTGTAAAAAAAACCTGGAAATAAAAACTTTGGAAAAAAAGTCCGAATTTTATCAAGTCCTTGGAAAAAATGTCACTGGAAATAAAGTCCTGTGTTTTGGATTCCTGGGACTTTTTTTCCTAAAATAGTCTGGGGGCTGCCAATAAAGTCTCAGGAAATAAGATCCCAGGAAAAAAAGTCCTGAAGAAAATAAATCCGAGGAAAAGAAAAACCTAGAATTGTGAATCATGCATTTTCACTTGTTAGAGGACTTTTTTTTCCGAGGACTTTTTTGTATAAAATCATACTGGAGCCAGAAAAAAAGTCCTAGAAAATAAAGTCTCATATTGATAGGACTTTATTTCCGGAGACTTTTTAATAAAAGGACTTTTTTGCACAGGACTTTTTTAGTGTAAAATTTTAGGACTTTTTTCCAAGGATTTTTTTGGCGGTTACCTTCAACTTAAAGGGGCTGTTATGCCATAATTTTGATTAAACCATCCCAGTCCTTAACAGGGTTCCATATAGTTCCAAAAAAAGTTAATTTTCTCGAAAATTTAAAAAAAATATGCCCATACAGTAATTTTTTAAAACCTACACTCTTTAATCAAACTCAAATTTAACTATAACATTTTTAAATGTAAGATCGACAGATTCTTTTTATTTTCCTTCTTTCCTTAAAAATTGGATTTTAAAAATTACACTCGCACATTTGTATTCAGTTACCCAACCAGACTTAAATTTACCCCTTCATTAAACATTTGTAACCCTTGGTTTTTTAGAATGCCATGCCAACTATTTTAATTTAACTTTAAAATTTACAGCCCTATCTAAAAAATGCCACTTATTTTTTAGATAGGGCTCAACAAATTTTGAAGTTTTCCCCCCACTCCAAGCAAGAATATTGACGTTGCATGCTCTTTTGACACCCACAGATTATATTTTATATTATTTTATAAGAATAAACAAACTGTGCCCGGAACCCAAAAAAACCGAGGCCACAAAAACAAAAAGGATTTCTCTCGGCCAATGATAGATGGTAAAATTTCTGTCAGCTGTTTAAAGGGATTAAGTAAATCGTTTGAAACTTTTCGTCAAAAGTTTTAGCCTGTTAATAATATATTTTTTCAATAAGGTTGATCTACAAATGGTTTATCAGGGACCAACAACTTGTTTATAGGTGAATGCAGTACACGGAGATAGTTGGACAGACAGTAAATAAACAAATAATATCGGACGTCAAAAAAATAATAGATATGAAGATAATTTGACCTTTGCGTATTTTAAGGAAAAAAACATGGTGAACGATTATTTAAAGGCCGTTGAATGCATTTTTATTTATTAGAAAATACAATTCAATTTTCTTTTTGATTGTTCATTGATAATTTAGTTTCTTCACATCATCAAATTCATATAACAAACAGGTTAAAGACATTTTTGTCTTGAATTTTAGGACATTCTTTATTAAACCAGATTAAGACTAAAACCATGTTACCTTTACTAGTCTGGTTTTGAAGAAGAGAAAATGGATGAATTTGTTGGATAAAAGACGACCAAAAACTGTTATAAAGAAGCTTTAAACAGCGTTAAAAAACACACAAATAAGTAGGATCAAATATTAATCCAGTATTGTTAGTAATATATATATTTTCTAAAAACGTATACTTTTCGTTTGTAAATTGCACAATAAGAGAAATTGCCAATGTAGTTCCAACTACATATAAAGAACTAAATTTTAAGTACAGTTGTACTTACTAATGGAACATAACGGGTAACAAAGTAAAAAGTATCAAAATCCAGAAAAAAGTCTGAACCTGTAGTTTAGAGAAAGCCAGTTTAAGCTTATATTGTAATTGTATGAACTATCGAAAAACTATAGAACCGGGCAGACATGATTTTAATTTAAATAATTAAAAGTTGAGAGCAGCATTAAAGTTTAATACTGAACTTTAAACAATATGTTCACAGTTTACTTATAGTTGGGACGGGGTATCATAGTACAGTGAGAACCAGAAAACTCTAAAATAGAAGGACAACATTTAGAATCAAGTTATGACTTTAAATAGTCAAAGGAACATGAAGTTTAAACAGGCCCATTTCACTTAATTCGTGATTTGCTAAGTATTTTGTAAAACTATTTGCTTTGTAACTAAATAAAATTCATTCAAAAAATATTTGAATGTTTAAAAAAGTTATGGTACATTTTTATTTATAAATCCATGTATCACAGTCGTCCTACTTTATATCAATAACGTCTTTCTATTTTAATTTTGATTTCTACCCAGCTTTCAACATCATTTACAAGAAAAACATATAAACAACGAGAACTGGCCATTAACAGCGTCTCTTTGCTTACATGTAAACTTTCAATTTGAAGAACGCTTGTCAGACATGAAAGCATTAAGAATTCGTCTTCATTGTATTGATATAAACGTCGACCACTGTTCCATACATGGGAGCTTTTGTTATAAAAATTTAAAGAATTGAACGTATTCTTTGAAACTGAAAAGAATGAGATTTAAACCACAAGCTCTGCACATTAATCGTTAAATATATTTATCATGAAATCTAGAATCTTTCATGGAATGTTTAAAACTTTGCAACAATGGTTAAACATGTGAGATTAAAGAAAAAATGTTCTTGAAGCGTTTTTTTTTTTTTCAAGCTTTGCACATTCTATATCCCGTTAATTTGACAAAATATGCATAATGTTAGTCGTTGCTAAAGTCAAAACATTTGTGATGTGAATCAAGAGTCCGAAGTTAAAGAATTTGAGCCGTGTTTCAAATCCACCAAAAACCGGTTTCAATTGAGCGCCGGCTTAAATTTTGAAACATTGAATAACCAAGTGGAACCAACCATATTTGAGCCGCGTCTTAAATTTAAGCCGCGGCTCAAATTCTTTAAATTCGGCCAAAGGATTCATTTCCATCTCATTTCCATCTTATGCTATGGATTTATTTAATTTTTCTTCGATACCCTGTGATAGTCAAACTTTGCAGTGATAACTTTTGTTTAAAAGTTTAAATTTAAAAGTACGTGCCCATTTTATAAGTTCTGATCTCGGGCCTGTTATAGGATAATTACACTCTCTTAAGAAATCTACGAAAAATTGTGTACACACTGCAGTATAGTGTGCACTGTACTGTATATACACAATAAAAATTGAAATGCGCGAAAACTACTCAAACCTGGGCATGTGAATTTACACAAGTACTTTCTGCAAGTATTATTGCAAACAAGTGGTTGAAGTGAAAGCAATCAAGTGGCTACATACTGGTGAAAAGCACTTGTGTAATATCACCAAGCATTACAGCTACCCCGTGTACGTTTACATGACCATGTGCTAGGGTTGCGTAAAGTTTGGTGAGATTGGAATCACATGACCTGGCTGAAAGAAGAGGAGGGGGTCGATGCATTCATTTTTCCATTCATCAGGGGGATCAAAACATCCTAGAACAGCAGGAATCAACATGCAAAAATTGTCAATGCCTGGTTTACAACGGTCGTTTTCTAGGTTTATATACCTTTTCACATGAAATATTAAAAAGGATGAAAAAGGCATGTTCAGATGTTGTTGTCTTCCAATTATTGATATATGATTGGTATATTAAAAAATAATTGCCACTTAACAGAGAAAAATGATATTACTAATTCCAGTATTTTCTGCACGGTTTTCTCATAACAAATCAATTACTTTACAATCTAATTTTATAGAATTGATTTACGCGTTCTGAATAATGTAACAATAAAGATGCTCATAAAAATTAATATCTTTAGGAAAAGCCAAAAAAAAAAATAACTAAACGCTTGCCACGAACTTGAATTTTCTAATTTCTATATTTCTACATTTGAAGTTCCAATTATTAATATTCAATTTTATAGTTGTTTTAATCTGGAAAAGATGTTATTTTTAAATAAGGACATCAATATTGATTTCAAATATCTTTTTAAGTTGTTACGACGCTGAAGAACTTTTTGAATCATTTCTTAAACAACTTTTACTGGATTTCCATATTTTTTATGGGATTAAACATATGATTCACAAGTTTACACCGGGGATATAGAGATTATCTGTTGAAGCTGAGCGCCATCTGAAACAAAAGTTTTGCCTGCTGTGGAAATGGAGTTTGTCAATTCTGCAGAAAAGAATAATATTTTACGAAGAAAAGTTTAAAATATTGATTTTGCTGCAGAACTTAAATTTGCAAAATTAGCTGAAGTTAATTACTTAAAAAAGATTATAAACAATGTTAAACTTCAGAAATAAAAGATATCGCCAGAACAATCACAAATCATGCGCTTCAACTTTATTCAAAATAAAATAATAGGATTGCTTCTCTATTAGGCTCAAATGTCATCTTAAAATACAGTTTAATAAAAAATGTATTTGATTGGATTTCATCTTGGAGAAAATTCTGAAAAAACCTTATATAAGATTCCCAAATTTTTTTCATTGGATTTTGATTTATGAAATATAGTAAAGTATACCCAAGGTTGCCCGTGAAATTTAAAACACTTTGAGAAAATCACCCCTGGGTTACCAATGAGTTCCAAAAACAATTCCAGTCAATTAGGTCCAGCCGTTTGGCCAGCTATTGGCGCATAGCTAACATTTATATGAGCGAAGAACTTTTATTATGTTGTTGTAGTCGATAAAATAAGAATGATTTATTAATCCGCAATAAAATATTTAAATTTGTGACGCAAAATCTAATAAATGTTTGCAACATAATTCTTCACAAAGTACATATATGACACTTTTATCTCTCTGAAAGGGGATGACTCATTTGGCTGACTGTCCCCTTTTGTCGTCAATAGTCAGTTTACTGTAGATACTTTCTATAGCTGCCTCAAGCTTTGCACACTTCATGATCAAGGCTACACAAAAGTTTGCGTGGAAATTGTTAAAGGTAAATCGCGTGCCATTAGCTAAAACTAATCACATTCTAGCTGAATCGGAATTTACTCTTCTTGATCTCTCATTCAAAATAAATCAATGATCCGCCTACATCCCATCCATCCCATCCATCTCTTCCCCCCATCCATCCCATTCTTTATCTATATATTCTTATTTCCCTTCTCTCCAGCAGTCTAACCTATTTATTAATGTCAAGAGAATATCTTATACGCATTGCACAGCTACCTTCTTGTATTTGGGAAATGCATACCCCCCCCTCATATACTGTCTGATGTATGCTGTATCATATTAATCACTGAGCTAGAGATAAAATGAAAAGGATAGTTGGCAGAGAATCAACCATCACACACACAAACCCTTACATAATAATAGGACTGTCCACGTCACTTTATTTGACCCCATATCTACCAAGTTAAATGTTAACTAGACTGCTTAAACCTTCATCTGAGTAAGAATGAGGAAGATATCGTAGTTTTTCTTCATTCATTATTTCTACTGTAAAATCCGTAAGTCACGTTTAAAAAATTAAACATTAAAATTGGGTATCCTTGTGATTGGTTATTTTACTTTAAATTTCCTCGTCAGTCTCTTTTTTTTCTTTCTATAAAATTAATGTAAAGTATTATTTACAAATCTGCAAAATGATTCAACGTTTTTTCAGATATAATTATTATGAATGAGTGAGATGGGTTTCCAGTTACCTGTCCTACGAAGTAAACAATCACTTCTAAAAAGTATTCCCTGCAGTTGTAAAACAAACAAGACGACAAGACAACGATAATGGGTTAAGTTGTCTGGGGGTAATTAGGAAATAAATTACTTGGAATTAGTATAATTAGAATATGTTGTTCCTCTACAAAATTGGCGTTCTTTCGTTCTTTCTTTCTTTCTTTCGTTCTTTCTTTCTTTCTTTCTTTCTTTCTTTCTTTCTTTCTTTCTTTCTTTCTTTCTTTCTTTCTTTCTTTCTTTCTTTCTTTCTTTCTTTCTTTCTTTCTTTCTTTTCTTTTTCTTTCTTCCTTATTTTTAGTGGCACGAAGCTTTAAAGAGTACTAGTGTAAATTGGTCGTAGAAATTTAAAAAATATTAATAATACTTCTATGTAATCTCTTTTGGACCCTGGCCTTGATACATTATTATTGATCTTATTGATAAAGGACTGCAGTTGTCTTGAACACTTTTGGTTGGTTTGTATCAGGTGTAAGCCTACTCTACCAAATCCGAGGAATTGAAAACTAAATCAGATCGACATATATATATATATTAGATATATCATCAAATCTGGGGAGGAAAAACAGCAAGAAAAGAAACTAAAAGCCAAACAACATAAAAATTGTGAATTAACTATCAGTAACGGACTGCCTTTGAAATGCAGTCAGGTTTTTGCCTTCAACCCCAATTACACAATTTTTGAGCTTTTGTTCTAAAGATTTCAAAGCTGGAAAGAGCTTGATACATATTTTTTAAAAATATTTGCAAAATTATTGATTTTACGTCACATCGAGTTTTCACTTCATAAGAAGTGGATCGAGCCAGCATCGAAAAAAAATTTTAATTCCTTAAATTTTTTAATATATAATTTGAAATACTCGCGGCATTCTAGAAACACATTAACACTCATTTCCTCCGTCTGAGAGTTTGCCTCCGCATGGGTCGATATAAGAATAATCTGTTTTCCCAAAATCCCCACCACCATATATTTCAGAGCTGGTAAATTATGTTCGCTTGAAATTCCAGGCTTCAGATTTTTGATGCTTTCATATTTAAATTTATATACATACAGTGATAATCAGAAAACCCTGGAAAGGAAGACGACTTTAAGGCTCATGTTATGACTTTTAATAGTCTAATAAACATGAGGCACGTTTGCAGTTTAAATATAGCCATTTAACTTGATAAGTGATTTGATAAGTTAAAAGTTGTTTAATTTGTAACTTTAAATACACTCAAGTATTGCTATAATGTTGTCTTCCTATTCCACAGTTTTTTGGTTATCTCTGTATATACTTAGCTTGGCTGTTGGTTTGTCTCTTTTTTAGTATCCAATCTATATTTTTTATATTTATCTGTCTGTCTGCTTGTATATCTGTCCGTTTGCATCCAAAAAACGTCAAAACGGCTGAACCGATCGGGCCCTAATTGTGTGTGGGACCTCACATGACTCCAGGGAAGGTTTATGGATGCTCAAAATTGCAAAAATTGAGCCCGAAAGTTTTTGATTTTTGTTAAATTTTGAAAATGCGCGAAAAATATTTTTTAATTCGCGATCCTTTTTTGTTTTTGTTTTATATCGTACAAAAAGAAGATGCACTCAGATAGAGCCATAATTAAAAATTGAAATAGAAGATGTGCGCGAAGCGCCTTAAAAGTCTGATAATCGTAAAAACGGCTGAACTGATAGAGCCCAAATGCTCTTGAAGCCTAACTTACTTATATATATCCAGTGAATCATATGTCCAATAGTAAATGTATAAAAATATAAATATTAAATGTTTCTATATTGGGTATTTTTTGATGAATCAGCCCNGCTTTAATTCTTTAGAAAAATTTTTCCGATTAAATTTTTTTCATTACTAAAGCAGTTTTTTATTTTCTATTTTATTATTTTACTCTAGTTTAGTTTAGTATTATTTTTCTTCTTGGAGATTATGATAATCAAATAATGGTAGGAAAACTATTTGATTTTTAAGTTGGTTTCACAATATTAAATTTTTAAATAAATCTGTTGAAAAGTATCCAATAGAAATCTCAGAATAAAATGTAACTTTACTCAGTGTTTTATTATCATGACTCCTACAAAAGTCAATGAGTTTTATTTTACAGAATCACTTGCCAAAAAAGGGCTCTAAAAAGTTTGAACTTTGAAATAAGGGTACTCATGGCTCCAGCTTTCTTAAAATTTAAAAAAAGTTTTAAATTTTCATCATAATAAAAGGTTTGTTTTGTAGGAATATCATAACAACGAGAAAAAAGAGTGTTTTGTCTTGAAAATTCNCCCCCCACCCATTAGGCCCTTCATCGAAAAGAAAGGAAAGAATTAATATAAAAATGCAAGGATTTTATTCACTCTATTAACGAGGAAAGGAAATTTGTAAGAAAAAGATATCTAAGAATTATTATCTCTCATATTTCATGTCATAAACTCCCCCGGGGGTTTTGTATTGATTTGTATTTTTATGCAATAAAGCATAAATCAATCTCTTCAACTTCCACTACATACAACTTTTCCCGCCTTATAATCCTCACGGAGCTGTTTACTGCAGCGATGTCGGCCATTTTGTTTTCGTGAATTCTTCTGGATTTTTAAAACTTTTCCCGATTTTCAATCCTCGTGAAAGTGTTCACTGCAACGGTGTCAGCCATTTTTTTTCGTGGATTATTCTGGATTTCGCCGGATCATTTGACAAACTATTCCCAAGATTTCCATGAAAGTATAGTTTTTCAATAATCAATATCATTATTAAATATATTCATCATGTAATTTTTAATGTACTTAAGTATATGTTATGTGACGTACTCAAATTGTTACTTTTATGTTCTGCTCAATGCTGAATATGGACCTAGCACTCTACGCCAATATTATTTAAGAATATATGTATTGTATACGCTTTAGGCCATTCTTTAAATAAAAAGTAATCTTTCATGATAAAGAGAACCCACTTTAGGACAGACGTATTAAGATTTAAATAAAATATTCTTTTAAATCTTCTTTCGTGTCTACCATTACCAAACCTGGGAGCATGTAAAGGAATTTTTCTAGCCCTAATGCCTTCCATACAAATTCAGAAAGTTGCAATAAACGACTCGGATCGTAAAAAAATCAGTTTAATTTCAAACAAATCATTCAGATATTACAATCTATAGTCATCGATTATTACATCTGGCAGAGACACCTAGCGAAAAAAGTCATTTTAAGTGCACTGTATATAAAACTAATATTATGAAATATTAACTACATACAAGTGCGTCGAAAAATAACCAATGACTTTAGGTTGTAACATCTGAATGATTTGTAATTGTTTTAAATTAAATTGATTATTTTACAATACGAGTCGTAGATTGTAACTTTTTGAATTTGTATGGACCCTACGTTCTTCAGTATTAGTCGTCTTAAACAATTTTCTCCTTAAAGACGCAACAGATAGAAGTAAGGTTTGCAGCGATCAAAAGCGATTATTTTTCGCCGGATGCCTATACCCCCTTTTATTTTTCGCGAACACTCCCTTTAATCGTACAATAAGGCTAATACACACAGCCAGGTAGCTAGGTTCCAGCCCCCCTGACTATAACGTTTGTTTACATTCCTCCTAGAAACTGCAGTACACTTTCTTCTTTAGAAATTCCTCATATATTCCTTTGTATATAAAATGTACATTGTTTGTTAATCATTGGCCAAATGTAAAATGTACACATAAATTAATGGCAAATGGCCATTGGCCACCAACCTTAGTAGAGAGACAATGGGAATGTGCCAATATATACTAAATTAAACTGTTTTAACTGAAAGTATAAACAGTAAACTGTTGCTTTGTATATAAATATTTTAGTTAATAGTGGATAATGATTATTCGACCTGACAAATTGTTTTGATTTTTAAATTGAGAATCAGCAAGTACATGACAATGTATTAATGTTAAAAAAGTATATTTTATCCATTGAGGAGAAATATTTACAGAGTTTGAACAAAATTTTTAAGTCGGTTGATTTAGACTCTTTATGTTAATCCTTTCATTGTAAGGTTATTCAGATATTTATCAATTGCACACTCGAACAATTCTTTTAAAACTATTCAAGGTCATAGAGTACTACAGATTTGATTGAAAGCTCTTTAAAAATTGATTTTAACCAGTACATATTCAATTCATAACTTTATAGTACAGTACAGCTGTTTTTACGACGTAACAAGGGTTTTACAGTACATTTAAAATAACAGTACAGCGCAATTTACATCAGGGTACAACATCGATTATCCGGCTGAACATATATTTACAATATTTTGAAAATTGAATTTTTTAAGAGGTTTTTTTTTTTGAAGCAAATAAAAAATATTTTTAGCTTAATATAAGATTACCGGGGGATGACTTTGATAAAATAAATTGCTACTCTAAAGTTGTTTAACAACAGGGTGCTAAATAAAAAAGGTACTTACGCTGGGGACGAGGTGGTCTGTGCTGGTAACCCTAGTCACCCTGTAGGTCACATCATCTTATACTTAAACATACTTTTATCTATTCTCAACTTTTCTATTCCTTTAATTAATCCTTTTCCTTTAATTAATCCTTTTCCTATCAACTTATTTACATATATTTCGTATTTTGTGGTGCTTTTTAAAAAAGTTCAAAAATATCAAAGCCTATCACACATCCTTAGTTACTAATTGGACCTTGAGAGTAAAATTTAGTTGTAAATAATGCGTTTGTCCTGTAACGTCACTGGTAAAGGGAATAGATAACAGTTAGTTCCCTTGTATATCCCCTGTATCCCTTGAAACCCTTATATTCATTGTATCTCCTGTCTGTATCCCTTGAATCCCTTATATCATTGTATCTCCTGTCTGTATCCCTTGAATCCCTTATATGCATAGTATCCCCTGTCTGTATCCCTTGAATCCCTTATATGCATTGTGTCTCCTGTCTGTATCCCTTGAATCCCTTTATGCATTGTATCCCCTGTCTGTATCCATTGAATCCCTTATATGCATTGTATCTCCTGTCTGTATCCCTTGAATCCCTTATACGCATTGTATCCCCTGTCTGTATCCCTTGAATCTCTTATATGCATTGTGTCTCCTGTCTGTATCCCTTGAATCCCTTATATGCATTGTATCTCCTGTCTGTATCCCTTGAATCCCTTATATGCATTGTGTCTCCTGTCTGTATCTCATTGTATCTCCTGACTGTATCCCTTGAATCCCTTATATTCATAGTATCTCCTGTCTGTATCCCTTGAATCCCTTATATGCATTGTATCTCCTGTCTGTATCCCTTGAATCCCTTACATTCATTGTATCTCTTGTATCAACTTTATCCCTTGTATTCTTTGTATTACCCATATCCTTGTATCCCTAATATTACTTGTTTCTACTTTAACCCCTGAATCCTTAGTTTATCTAGTATCTCTTGTATCCATTGTATCCCTTGTATTTTCTTAATTTCTTGTATTACCGTTATTCCTGTATCCCTTGTATTCTTTGCATCTTTTGAATTTCTTGTGTCCCTGAATTATCCGATGTATCCCTTGTATCCCCTGTATCCCTTGTATCCCTTGTATCCCTTGTAACCCTTGTATCCCTTGTATTACCATTATCCCTGTAACAATTTAATCTTTTGGATTTCTTGAATCTTTTGGATTTCTTTTATCCCTTGTATCCCTTGTTTTAACAATATCCCTGCAACAATTGTATCTTATGGATTTCTTGTATCCCTTGTATGCCTTGTATTACAAATATCCCTGTAACAATTGTATCCTTTGGATTTCTTGTATCCCTTGTTTGTATCCCTTGTATCCCTGTTATTGCTCATGTCTTCAAGAAATCAGACCCACCTATTTTTGTTAAAAACAATTCTTTTAAATCTAGGAGCGTTGCAATGTAATTTATTTTTGTAAAATGTAATTAAAATGTGATTTTGTTTTGTAAATGTAATTAAATGTAAATCGATTTAAACTTTCTTAAATATGGAGATATCATGCAAAATTTCAAATTTACTTCCAAGCCTTTGAATAGAACAGGGCGGCACGGTAAGCGTAATTGGAGCTCTTTTAGTCGTCTTTTATTTTATTTATATTTGATCTCAGATAATGTCACATTATTGTGATGTCACGAAAGTGTGACATAAGTGCAAAATTATATAAATTTATAATATATAATTTATAATTTCACATTGGATGGCAATATTTAGCAACATGCATTGCTGCAAAAAAGGACGCATTTATTTAACGCACCAAAAAGGACGCATTTATTGAACGCGTAAATGAGGACGCAAATTGACATAAAAAACCATACATCTCTACATTACAGAATAGGATAGATATTATTATATAATATATTCCAGGTCTGGTGAACTGTAAACCCTAATGATCGTCTCTGTAAAATCTCCCCCCTCTTCTATTTCTATATCGTGTGTTAGCCACCACTATTCTTTTTAGTTTTGGTTTCCTGTTTCTAGATTCTTGTTTGATCAATAGACTAAGATTACCCCCCCCCCCCCCTACCCCGATATCTGGTTAAAACTAAACAATTCTAGGGGATTGTTCAAGAAATTGAAAAGTTGTCCAACGGTAATTTTATTTTAAAAGTCTGACATTTAAAGAATAATTTGGTTTAAACAGACGGGAAAATTTAATTTCTTTTTAAAATTAAAAATAATCGTTTTTTTTCTATCAAATCACCTAAATTTAAATTCTTTTTCTTAAATTTAAATTTTCCAAAATTAGTTGTGCTTCATTTTCTCCCATATAATTAATATTCATCCTGGTCCTAATTTGTGTATTTCAATGTGCCTATTGCCTTACCCCTTATGCATCCTATTATTTCCAAATTATAGTTATCCCGTCTCTATAAATCCTTTCCCTAATTTGTGTATTTTCATGTACCCAACTATGTATTCAACTATTGTTCCTAATTTATGGTTATCCCGTTTCTAATTTTTATTTATCCTTTTCCTAATTTGTATATTTTCGTTTTCCTAATATTTGAGTTCACAAATGTTCCTAATTTTTAGTTTTCATTTTCCCAATTTGAAAATTTCCATGTTCCTAACCCTTATTCTTAATTAATTGTTATCCTTTTCCTAATTTGTGCATTTCTATGTTCCTTACCCATGTGTGTACAATTTTGATTCCTAATTTGCATATGTTTATGTTCTTTATCTTAAGGTATAAGTTTGTTCCGAATTTGTTGTTATCCTGGCCTTTATTTATATATTTCCATGTTCATTACCCTAATTTTTACAATTATTTCTAATTTATAGTTATCCCCTTCCTAATTAGCAGTTATCATGGTCCTAATTTGAATATTTTCATGTTCCTAATCTTTGGTTACATAAATTGTTCCTAATTTGTAATTATCCCTTTCCCAATTTGTAAATTTCTATGTTCCTAACCCTTATGTATGAAAATTGTTCCTAATTTATTGTTATCCTTATCTTTATTTGTGGTTATCCTGGTCCTAATTTGAATATTTCCATGTTCCTAATCATCATGTAAACTATTGTGCCTAAATTGTATTTATTCAGTTCCTAATATTGTATGTAGAAAGTAAGCCTAAGGTATACATTATGTCAATGCTTCTAGTTTTTCTTTTTTCTAAATCAATATGAATATTTATGTTCCTAATCAGTAAACATATTTATATCCAACATTATCCTATCCAATCCTATTCCTTGTTTTCCCATTCAATCTATTCCTATTTCCTACTCAACCATATCCAATACCTTCCTGTCCAATCCTTTCCTATCCAATCCTTTCCTATCCAATCCTTTCCTATCCAATCCTTTCCTATCCAATCCTTTCCTATCCAATCCTTTCCTGTCCAATCCTTTCCTGTCCAATATCCTTTTCTGTCTGATCCTTTCCTATCTGTCTGATCCTTTCCTATCCAATCCTTTCCTATCCAATCCTTTCCTGTCCAATCCTTTCCTGTCTAATCCTTTTCTGTTCAATCCTTTCCTGTCTAATCCTTTTCTGTCTAATCCTTTTCTGTCCAATCCTTTTCTGTCTAATCCTTTCCTGTCCAATCCTTTCCTGTCCAATCCTTTCCTGTCCAATCCTTTCCTGTCCAATCCTTTCCTGTCCAATCCTTTCCTGTCCAATCCTTTCATGTCTAATCCTTTTCTGTCCAATCCTTTTCTGTCCAATCCTTTTCTGTCCAATCCTTTCCTGTCCAATCCTTTCCTGTCCAATCCTTTCCTGTCCAATCCTTTCCTGTCTAATCCTTTCCTGTCAAATCATTTCATGTCTAATCCTTTTCTGTCCAATCCTTTTCTGTCCAGTCCTTTTCTGTCCAATTCTTTTCTGTCCAATCCTTTTCTGTCCAATCTTTTTCTGTCTAATCCTTTTCTGTCTAATCCTTTCCTGTCCAATCCTTTTCTTTCGAATCCTTTTCTGTCCAATCCTTTCCTGTCCAATCCTTTTCTGTCCAATCCTTGCTTTCTAATCATTTTCTGTCCAATCCTTTTCTGTCCAATCCTTTTCTGTCTAATCCTTTTCTGTCTAATCCTTTCCTGTCCAATCCTTTTCTGTCTTATTTCATAATTTCCTATCCAATCCTTTCCTCTGTCTGTCCAATCATATCCAGTCAAATTCGTCCTGTCCTATCCAATCTGCGTTCATCATATTCTATCAAATCCATTTTCCTCTTTGTCCTGGCCAACCCAGCCTATTATAATCATAGATAAAGATAGATAAGACGACATTTTTCATCTTAAAAGATATAAATGTACAGAGATGTTTTAAAGACATTCCTATTATATAGATTAACTAGGTCGGTTGTGAACATTGGCTGTTCTTATGTCATTGAGTACTTGTGGTGTACATAAGTTCTGTAGAGAGAAATTTATGTTAGTTTAGTCCTTCTCATGTCCTTCTTCAGTTCTGGTCAATATGATATATTGCTCAGTGAAATATTTTTGTTCAAATAGTTCCATTCCCGGAGTTATTTTACACACCCCAAACCACCCCGCTTATCATTGAAGTACACTTTGACCCCTAGAAGTATGAGTTTGGGGACTGTACAATTCTTGGTGATTTTGCGTACATAAGCTATCTATGTTTATTTATTTATCTATGATTATAATCTAACCTAACCTATCCCAACTAAAATAATTCTATTTGACTCCCATCCCATCCTATTCTATCCTAAGTAAATAGTTTCTCTATAAAGGTGATGGACTCCTGCCTGTTCTTAGAGAATAGTTTCTTCAGTGTCATCTCCGCCTGGGCATTGAACTTCATGAAGCACACATAGGAGGCGTAGATACCGAGGAGCAGAGATGCCTCCCACCACTGGATTAGATTATCCAGGAAGAAGAGGATCAAGGTGACCAGGGATATACTGTAGAACGTGCAGTCCCTGAACAGCGGCCACCAGGTCAGGTGTAACACAGTCTTGCTGAACAGAGCGCACATACCGATGACGAAGAGAATATTGAATACCGCTGAGCCGACGATGGTTCCTATTCCCACGTCTGAAAATGCCACAAAAACCCCGATGACTGATGTGAAGAGCTCAGGAGCTGATCCTCCAGCTGCCATGAACGTTGCACCAGCGACATCTTCACTGATTCCCAGTTTCTCGATGATTACATCTAAGGAAGGTACAAAGAACTCATCGCAAACGATTGCCAACGCTACAAACATGTAGATTAGACCAATGATGTGAAGTACTACCGCTCCGTTTTTTCTTTGATCCTCTGTAAATAAATCCGAAGGAAAGAGAGGATCGGCATCAGCAGTTACATTTGTATTGTTATCCGAACTGTTTCCCATGGCAGGGATTAAGGTTGGTGTATCTACGGTTGTTGTTGTGGTTGTTGTTGTTGTTGTTGTTGTTGTTGTTGCTTGAAGTAGGTGCCTGAAGAGCACTCCAGGAGGTGATCCTTCCTCGCTAAATATTTTGAGCCATTCCTTCCCTTGATCACTAGAGTATACCGGGGTGGTTGGGATGGATGCCTGTGACTCTGCCCAGCCTATGGCTCTCTGGAAAAATAACAGCCCCACTAAATAGCACATTATTATTGCAACATTTAATCCAACAGTTTCAGGGTCCTTCCAGCTTTTGCCGGAAATAAATCTAGCTCGGGAATGCTTCATTTTCACTGTTTTAAAAGTTATTTATTGGTCTATAGACGCGTCATGTAGCGCTGGTACCCACACATCCACGTTATCTACTGTCACTGTTCTAGGGTTAGGGTAGAGGGATACATGCCTTGGACCTAATGGGGAGTAACCACTGACTGTGGAGGAGACCCGAGGCCGCAGAGCAAAAGGCCTCTGTATGGAGGTTGGACCAACGGCACACTACCCAACCTCCTCAAGATTACTCACACAATTCAACACTGCACAAACATTCATTCATATAGATAGACCTGATTCAAATCTTTAAACTAGTCAAGCATACAGTAGGCATCAAACCTTATGCAATTGGTATTTTACGAATTTATGAAAAAATATCATACCGTAGGTTCTGTGTAAAATTTGCTGGTTTCATGTTTATGACAGCAGGATTTAAATCCCTGTTAAAACTCCGAGATGGGTTGGATTCTACTTGGTGTGGGTCCCGTGCTAGAAAATAGAATAGGAAAATTGCAGGCCAGGTTTCTTTCGGGCTGAGGAGATTTATTCATTCGCCTACTCTCAGATCTTCTTAATAAACAAGGGGCAGCGAGGGAGATATCAGGGGAATTGGGAAGGAAGGAAGTTTGGGATTTGGAAAAGGAACTCTAGAAACTTTGGACTGAAAATATTTCGATATATATTGGAGTCACGAAATCGAGTCAAGTTATAACTATTAACTAGTATCTACATTCTATTCTATAATCTGTTTTAGTAAAAGGAGTAGAAAACAAAGGGTTACTGACAGGTTTACAGCAATTTGTATATTTAGTAGGAATGCAGTATGAATATTTGGAGAAAATGGGGTGTCTTAATAAACATTGGAATTGAGAGATAAGTTGAATATCGTCTTTGATTGCCGATAATTGATAAATGACTAAAGTGCATTGAAAAATATTTGAAATCTAATGAGCTTTCCAAAATGTAGTCTATCTTCTTTGAATCTTTAAAATTGACCGATATATTTAACATTTAATCAGTTTTGTTGATTTTTAATAAAGTGGAATCTGGACAAATATCCATTATCTCCCTCAATTATGAAAATTAAAAATGTTATGCCACATTTTGGAAATTCCAAGACTAGTAATTTTCGATGTTAAATGTTGAATCTACAAAATAATGTTTATAAAATAAGCCCGCATGGAACAAAGACGATCTTAAAGTCGTTAGTCAATTCCCATTATTATTGGGACACCCTGTACCTCCTGTATTTTAGCTTTTCAACTGGAAACACACTAACACTATTATACATACATACATATTTCGACTATAGATATATATATAATTCAAATTGGAGTAAAGTAATATAATGAAATATACCCTCTTACATATGCCCTCTTTTCAAGAATTATTTAAAATTTCGGGATATGTATTTTAATTAGGGTAGAGACATTAAGGTATAAAGAAGTTGTAAACATTTAAAAAAATAAATTTAAAATTTAAATGAAAAATACCGTGGAAGGTAAATCGTGATTTTTGTTGTTAAACTCAACTCTTAACTTTTTTACTGTTTTTCCTAGAATTTGTCAATTAAAGGGTAGTTTTTGTAATATTACGTCGACAATACGCTGCAAATATTTTTGCTAGAAACCTCATTGGTAGAAATTCAGTTCCTCGAAATAAAACGAAAATTGTGTCGGTTAGTTTTGTTTGCATCAAAAGTAGTCGGAAAAAATGAGACTTGTGTGGCATTTATCTCACTGTGATTTAATGGTCTCAGGCTCTTAAGCAAAAATCGTTGAGAATTATGCCAATTACTTCTAAAAACAAGTGCTTGCTAGTGCTATAATGTACATGTAAAGGGCTACAGAAAAGCATAAGTGAGTTAGAGCGGTAAAATCTAAGCTTAGGGCGTCAAGACAGTTCAAAGTCAACCCTGTCTTAAAAATTGATAAGACTGTTTATAAGCGTCTATAAGGAGAAAATTGTTAAAGACGTCTCATACCGAATAACATGGCGTCCATACAAATTGAGCAAATTGCAACATACGACTTAGACCGTAAAAAAATCAATTTAATTTCAAACAAATCATTCAGATATTTCAATCTATAGTCATCGATTATCTTTCGCCACATTTATATATAGTTGATTTTTCATAATATGTTTTAATTGTTATGATCTGAGAAATACTTATAAAAACGTTTATTCCTGTTTCGAGGATTTTTGGTAATGAAGACGACATTTTCATATTTTCCAGGAATGTTCGAAAACAAGTTGTAAGCTAAATATTATTTTAAAAAACAAAAGCAAAACTAGTATGAAATATTAAATATATACAAATGTGGCGAAAGATAATCGATGACTATAGGTTGTTCTATATATCTGAATGATTTGTTTGATATTAATTTGATTTTTTTACGGTCTATTCGTATGTTCCAACTTCCTCAATTTGTATAGGCGCTACGCTCTTCGGTATGAGACGTCTTTATCAATTTTCTCCTTATAGACGCAACAGATAGAAGTAAGATTAGTAGCGATCAAAAGCGCTTTTTTATTGCATTAAGCCTATACCCCCTTTCATTTTTCGCGAACACTCCCTTTAAGTAAGAAATACTTCCGAGGAAGTTTGCATTTGAACAGCTGATTTATTGATCATAATAAGTGATGTTGGTTTTTGTTTAACTAAATTCTCAAAAGATTGTTATTTTGATTTCTCCACTTTTTAGTATTTATTCCCTGTTCAGTGTTTTGCTAATCAGGCAACAAAATTGCGGCTTTTTTGGTCTGTGACAGAAAAGTACTCTAAGGAAGAGAACAGTTTTCTTTATGGAAGAAAGTAGTAATCCAAGGAAGAAAGCAGTGCCCTAAAGAAGAAAACGGTACTCTAAGGAAGAAATCAGTAATCTAAGGAAGAAAACATTACTCCAAGGAAGAAAACAGTACTTTAATTGGTACATTTCCTCTAGAAATACTTGTATATCGTGCCAATTAAGATTTCTTAGGAATCCTAGCTCTGAACTGTCTGCATTAATCCTTAAGGTTTTTTTTCTTCAAGTTCATTATTTTAGTATTTTTATCAATTTCAAGTTTTACATTTTTTTCATTGCATTGTATTCTTTTATACCATCATGGTATGAAACTTTCCTCGGAGTGTTTTTATATTTCTTTTCGATAAAGGAACTGATCACTCGCCTTAACCTCCACTTTGCTACTCCTTATATTTTGAAAATACTCTAAAAAGAAAATACTCTAAAATGTTATAGTTCATTCATTGTCCACTACGTAAATATAGCTCAAACAATCTTAATTTTCAGGGCTTAAAAAAAGAATGAGTGGATTTTTACGTATAAACAATTATCAAGCCTTGTGTAACTTAAGTCTCAATAGTCTGTAAGTTATTTTCCAAGTTATGATAAATTTGAAAATAACTAAAAATTTAACTAATTATTTTTATTTACGAATAATCTTCCGTGAAATAACTCTTATCTCTTACTAATGGACATCTAACTACTCAGATAATTCCTTATTATTATTTCTATTCCCGAGGGTGTTCTAACTAGTTGTAACTAGTTTTAACAAGTTATATTTAGTCCAGATTTACAAAGAGAAGCATTCTCCCTAAGGGCCGATAAAACACTCAACGTCTAATCAGGTTTCTTTTGATCCCGTATTAAGCGGAGCTTTCAGAACCATACAAATCTTAACCTAGAGATATACTTTCACAACCATACTAGTCCTAACCTAGAGATATAATTTCACAACCATAATAATTCTAACCTAGAGATATACTTTTAGAACCATGCTAATCCTAACCTAGAGATATACTTTCACAACCATACTAATCCTAACCTAGAGATATACTTTCACAACCATACAAATCCTAACCTAGAGATATACTTTCACAAACATAATAATCCTAACCTAGAGATATACTTTTAGAAACATGCTAATCCTAACCTAGAGATATACTTTCACAACCATACTATTGCTAACCTAGAGATATACTTTCAGCACCATACTAATCCTAATCTAGAGATATACTTTCACAACCATACTAATCCTAATCTAGAAATATAATTTCGGAACCATACTAATCCTAACCTGGAGATATACTTTTAGAACCATGCTAATCCTATCCTAGAGATATACTTTCCGAACCATACTAATCCAAACCTAGAGATATACTTTCAGAACCATACTAATCTTAACCTAGAGATATACTTTCAGAACCATACTAATCCTAACCTAGGGATATACTTTCAGAACCATACTAATCCTGACCTAGGGATATACTTTCAGAACCATGCTAATCCTAACCTAGAGATATACTTTCAGAGCCATACTAATCCAAACCTAGATATATACTTTCAGAACCATACTAATCCTAACCTGGAGATATACTTTCATAACCATACTAATCCTGACCTGGAGATATACTTTCAGAACCATACTAATCCAAACCTAGAGATATACTTTCAGAACCATACTAATCCTAACCTGGAGATATACTTTCAGAATCATAATAATCCAAACCTAGAGATATACTTTCAGGGCCATACTAATCCAAACCTAGATATATACTTTCAGAGCCATACTAATCCAAACCTAGATATATACTTTCAGAACCATACTAATCCTAACCTGGAGATATACTTTCAGAACCATACTAATCCTAACCTGGAGATATACTTTCAGAACCATACTAATCCTGACCTGGAGATATACTTTCAGAACCATACTAAGCCAACACTATTTATATATTTAATGATTTTGATAAATTTATTTATCTGTTGACTCTAAATGCATGGTTTAAATGTTGAGTCATTCTTATTTGTGCATTTTTATTTAAAATTTTGATAAATATCAATTCAAAAAAACGGATACAGATCTTTCCGCAGTATTCAGAAAGTTTTATTTTCAGAAAAAAAGCTATAATTTGGTCGCTAAAGGACATCTGTAAGTTACTTACCATAGGCTCCATTCTTCATTCCAAAAATATATTTTCAAGAAAAGATTATTCAAAGATCCCTTAAACCTTTGACTAATCATTAAGGACAGAGAACTAGCTCAGTGTACATATCTCTTAAAAATTTTGTGTAAAAAGTCATACATTTGGAGTGTACGCGGATGACGTCACATTTACTTCTGGAAAGTCTAGAATATTCTATGCCCAACGCGATTTTTAAAAATTCGAATGT